CACTATACCAGGCCGCCTTTACTTTCCCTAACCTGAATCAGGTACCCAACAGAGCTGGGCGGGCTCAAGAACGTCATGCATATTCAAGTTCGGATTAAGATCCGAATTCGAACTTTTCGGGTTACCAGTCGAGCACTCTACCACCGGACCAGTGTTTCTTCCAGACTTTTTTCTCCGGGGGGGGCACTTGAAATCTTCGGGGGGGGCGGTAAACTTTCTTCGGGGGGGGCGGACACTGTTAAAAGTATATATTTTCTATATAAATGATACAAATTTCATTTCGTTCGGGGGGCGGTAAAAAATTTTCGGGGGGGCTTCGCCCCCCCCGAAGAGATGCCTGGAAGAAACTCTGCACCGGACCACACCTAATGTTTAGATTCCAGTTCCAACACCCACTTTCACCCCTTCATCTTGTATTGCCCTGTCGGAGATCATAAAAGTAGAGTTTTAAAAAGCACTAAATGTATCAAGATCAACAAAGAATAAATTTAAATATAGCTAGCCCCAAGTAGCCCACGATCTCAATCTATAGTCGATAAATACTGCCACACTTTAATCCTTGGCTGGGTTAGACCATCCCAAAAACTGCAAACGTAAAAGTACGGTTCAAACTTTGATAATGTCCTAAATTAAATAATATTAAAAATAAATACAGTCCGACCAAAAATACGACCGTTGTCTTAAAAAAAAAAGAATAACTTGCGTTGACCCTTAAAGCCAGTATCAATGCTATGAAATATGCAAATCCAATTTATTCTTAAATTGGTTCTCCCGCGCCTTTCTCTGACACGCACAAGGAAACCGGTGTTGTTCTCCAACAAAGTGGGCTCATCCATCTTCTGACGTGTCGCGTGTCCTTATTTGTTAGAGGCGCCAGTCTATCCAGTCTGCATGCCAGCATTATTCTAGCTTTATTGGCCGATAACAAACCTTGGGAAATGGGGATGAAACCCGTACTGTCGAAACGCGAAAGCTGAAATATCAAAATAGCCCGTGCTTTCGAATTTCCCTTTTTACTTTTCTGTATACGGAGTGTATAGGGAATTAGAGCAAAAATCAAAATCGAGATTTGTGCTGTCGAGATTTGTAAAGATCTCGACATACCTATGAACACGATGACTTGAGTACTGTTTCAGTTAGGTGGAAGAAATTGTTGCTATATAAGTATTAGATACTATACGTAGGTTTCTGTCAACGTTTGAGCGATTTATAGTAACCGGAAGTGGTAGTTTATATTTTTTTTCCGGTCTCTCAAAAAGTTAATAAAAATCCGATACTTTTATATCATATTCAAAATGCAACAAATTATAAAAACTTTTGGCTTTATGTGTTTTCTCGATAAAACAAAAACAAGTTAGTAAAAAGTCTAGTGACAATTTAAGCGCAATTTCCTTAATTAATTTTTTAAATTATAAATAAATTAATAGTGTACAAAAATAAGTATTAGATCTAGATACTATACGTAGGTTTCTGTCAACGTTTGAGCGATTTATAGTAACCGGAAGTGGTAGTTTATAATTTTTTTTCCGGTCTCTCAAAATACCAATAAAAATCCGATACTTTTATATCATATTCAAAATGCAACAGATTATAAAAACTTTCGGTCTTATGTGTTTTCTCGAAAAAAAAGGGAGCGATTTGTTACAAAAATACCTACCATTTCTTTTGCCCGATTACACTAGATGAGTCATCCCATTACATACTGTTTAAAATATTGTTTATAAGCAATTAAGTGCCACATCGTGGTCATGCGTTAGAGCGAATATTACCAAACCCAGTGGCGTAGCCAGGAATTGGTCATGGGAGGGGTTCACATTTTTTTCCATATGTATACAATTATATATATATATATATATATATATATATATATATATATATATATATATATATATATATATATATATATATATATATATATATATATAAAAGCTGTATTTATAGGGGTGGGGGAGTCCATGGAAGGGGCTATAACCCCCCTAAACCCCCTTGACTACGCCAATGACCAAACCAAATGTATAGAGTTCGTTTCATAGATTCGAATCCATTGGACGTCACTGAATTGACCCAGCTCTGGTGGATACCCAGCGTTGGTATGTCTAAGTTGCACAGATGAACTCTACTTCATCCTCCCTAAACACTGTCTGGTCTGAAAGAGTGTTCTGGTATTGCATGTTCGACATGTATTTACATATTTTAGTTAAGATCTAGACATAGAACATAAAAATATATTAACGCGTATTCATTCATTTAAGGTGGGGAAAATAATTAGGCCTACAAAATAATTTTTTTAAAAACATACTTCGTGATTGCCATTTAAAATTTCAGCATTTCTGCTACGATAATACGGACTTTTAAAAATCGTTAATATGAGGTGGCGTTGGGTTACTCCCCCCCCCCCCCCCCCTAACGGTGGCTACGGTTTCCAAGGGCTCGTTATTTTGATGATGTTTAATTAGATGTATCTTGTTTCAGGCCATCTTTCGGCGTCAGTCGGTTTTGTACTGACCTGTTAACACCGTGTCGGCAACTGGTAGAGGTCTAGGCTGTATTATAGGGAGGGGAGGACATGGTGAAAGGAAATTCTTTTTATCCGTGATTTATGTCTAAGATTATCGATATTCTATTGAACTGCAGGCGACAAAAAAAAAATAGCGATGGTGCTTTAGAAACAAACTATTTCGGTTCTTATTGATTGGCCAACGGATTCTCATAAAACTACTAACTTTACTGGTAACGATACTCAAATGCTTTGGTTTATGTGTTATGTTAATAATTTCGGTTAAAATACGTGATAGGTTAAGGGTTGAAATTTATTATATAGATATATTTTTTTTACATCGTCGACACGAGCGATAAGAATGCGTAGGTATGGCTAATCGATGAGCATCACGATCGATGACTATAACGTTAACGACTTTCTGTCAACAGCGAGATTGGGACTTTGATCTCTAAACAACAGGGGAGCGTAAGAGGGGGGTAGGAATAAGAACTGAATGAAATAAAACCTTTGTTGTGCCGATCCGACCAATACACACATTTTTCTGAGCAACTATCATGACGCATATCTTCTCTAGATAAATTTTACCCTCAATCGTAAGGCGGCAAATAATTTTTATTTTTATGATTTCTTTTTTTTGAAAGCACTCATGAATATGCATGAATGCGTTTTCCCCAAACGAGTCTTTGTCAATATAAAGAAATCGTTTGTCTCGTTACTCTCAGATATTTCACCAACTCTCTGATGTTGTAAACCTCAACTTTATCAAATATAACAAACACATAAACAATTTTTTTTTTCAAATTTCCTTTTTTTTTCTTTTTTAAAAATAATAACTTAAATTAATTAAAAATTTAAATAAACTGATATTTTTAATTTTATTTTTCGACTTCCGTATTAAAAAATAGAACTGATTGGCCAACGTAAGATCTATCTGAGGATGGAATAAAAACAAACCACATTCATGAAAAAAAAATGAGCACGCCCATGTACATCAAATAACCTGTCACCCCTCCCCACCCTGAAGCAATACATCAAGTTTGTGTCAAGAGGATACATGGGTTAAAAAATGCAAAAAAAAAAAAAAAAAAAAAAAAAAAAAAAAAAAAAATCAGTCTTTAATGGAGTAAATGCATACTTTAGAAATTAGAAAAAAATAAATTGCAATTTATGAGTTAAACATGTGTAGGCCTATGTATAAAATACGAGTTTTAAACGTCTCTGGTGAATGCCTTTATGATTTAGTTTTTAGTTAACAAAACAAAGACAATCGGAAAGATAAGGGGGGGGGGACAACATCGCTCATGTCATTTCCTTAACAAATAAACTTTACCCCTGAGATCTACTGTTGTGTTGGTTACAATATAAAAGATACAAGGTTCGCATTGAGTCAAATAGACGGTGTTGTGCCAATATTAGTGGTTTAAAAACATAGAGTGCATTTTTAATCAACACAGTATCAGTACAGGTCTAAATTTCAAAAAACCATCGCCATCTAAAAATGTAATGAGAAAGGAAATATTTAGGCTATAATTTTAACGTATTCAACAACTTAAGGACTTAAGTCCTTAACTTTTAAGGACAACAATTATCACTTCAATATTATACTATAATGAACTAAAATATGACTTGTTTTTAAAAAGAAGTGAGATAAAATAATGTAGAAAACTCACGTAAAAAAATTCCTACCAAAATATTGTCCAGAAAGTTAAATAAAGCACACAGTGGGGTTTCCTTTTAACACGTGATGTTCCTCGGAGCAGACGAACAAACTCTGACCCGTGGACAGCAGGCGTCCCTGAAGTTGTGAAGATTTTATCGGTTTGTTGTGAAAGGCGTTGTCCGTCTCACGCGAGCAGACTATTTCCCGATCACCCGCTTGAGTGGGAACGCACGTTAAGCGCTAGCAGTAAAATACAAAATCCTATGGATTACGGGCCCTTTTTTTTCAAAAAATATAGTTTTAAAATTATTTTGAAATTATTTTAATTTAACTTTTGAATCAAAATACATGATATATAATTATTGGCGATTTTTTAAATTTATTTTTAAAAGATCAGATTATTTTGTAGCCAATAGTAAAAGATATATTTTTGGTAGCAAATATTGTTTGTTGTGATGCTAAATGCCAGGTTTAAGTAAAAAATTTCTTCAAATTTTCTTTACAGTTTGAAAATAAATAAAAACTAAAAACAACGTAAGTTATATAAAAGTAATTTATTGGATGATTTAAAAGCATTCATAAAAAGTGTTATATTACAAAAAAAAATATTTAAATTTAAAACTTTCCAGATACCTAGAGGCACCACATAAATACCTAGAGAAAAACACACCGTACAAACCTAAATGGATGGTATTGATTTTGAAAATCAATAATTATGTACAAGAACTCAATGATGAATAATTCTAGTGCAGCAATTTTTTTAAATTACATTTTTTGTTACCAAATATAGTTGAGATTATAAAAAGAACAAAGTGACATCTGACAAAAATGACATGTGCATATACCAATTTAAAAACGAATCAATCCATTACTATCAACGGACAAGAGCATTATATTTACTATTAAAACATAAGCTAAAAATTAGTAGACAGCGACAAACATTTTATGTGGAGAAAAAAATATGAAAAGAAAAACAACATATTATATTATGGCGGAGAAAGCAAAAAAAAAAAACAAAATTGTTAAATTCATTCTTTGAATCCCATGTATAATATATTTGGCAAAGGTGGAACACTACGAGACCACCTGGAATGACAATATCGAGGTAAAGAAACTTTGAGCAAAAAGCCAAAAGTGAAATAACAAAGCAACTATGGAGGAAAAAAAAAGCAATATTAAAAAATAATTCATTCTTCAATGTTCCTGCTACTACTTTTATCTTAGTATACATTTACACAAATTAATTCAAAGAAAAAGAATAAAACGTTATTCAAAGACAATACAAAACAAACCAAGCTAGCAAATAAAACTAAATAAATTGTTCAAATATGCATTCTGCATGTAAAAAAAAATTTTCCTACACAAATATGTAAACTCTAAACAGTCAATTTTCTTTAAAACATGAAGGATACACTAAATGAGAGATCTTAAAAAATATGTACAGAATTGTTTTATTTTTAATTGTAAATACAATCCATTTTTAATAATTATAATGCTATAGGCTTCTACAGTTTACAATCACATGCAAGGAAATAAGGCACAATTCTGAGAGTGTGGTAATCACATTAATGGAACATATTTACTATGAAATTCAAGATAATCATATCAACTCAACAGTTGATGCTACCAATAGGTAATTAAAGAAATATTGGGTTCAAAACTATTTAATTCTTTTAAAAAACAAAGCTACATAAAATAACATAAAAATGGGTTTGAATAAATTTCTCATAAAAATTTAACTCATTCATATTCTGTATAATGCATTTCTTTGAATCTTTTAAAATCATTTTTAAAAAAACACACAAGACTTTATTTATGTAACTCATGCTGTAAATACAAAAACGTAAAACTTATCAAAACTTCCATTTCCATTCTAAATCAAATAAATCTATTCAAAATTATGTATAAAAGAAAATGTGATTACATTTTTCAATTTTTGCCAAATGAATTAAGAAAAAGTAAAATTATTTTATTAGCAAATACAAAATATACTAGTTGCATTATACTGTAAGGGACACTTTTAAACTGATATTTTTAAAAGGATTCTTAATAAATTGTAAGTGGGGGTTTGAGACTTACTAACTACAAACTTGTCTTCCAACACTAAACTGTACATGCTCAATTACGCAACCATCAAGTGATGCATCATAATAGTTAAAAATTTCATTTGATCAAACATTTTAGAACAAGCTAAATGCTAGATAAGAAAAAATATTTAATAATAAAAAAATTGCTTATTGAAGTGATATTATTCACAAAAAATGTGTAAACATGTAAATAAATGTTGCAAGAATCAAAATGCTGCAGAAACTGGGCACATATAATGTGCATTAATTAGTTCCTAAAAATGAGAATACCCAGGGGAAAAAATGATACAAAATGGACACTTGCAATATTGTAAAATCAATATACACTAGGTCTAATACAGCACTGTCCAGCCTTAATACATTATCCAACATAACTTCTATTAACATTACACATTATATTAAAAACCAGCTAATATTAAAACTTAATTAAAATGAAGGTCCTCTTTCAACAGTATTTTTTAAAATGTACTAATTAATACTTGAAGATAGATAACTGCATTAAGTCAAGATTATCTCCCTGCTTCATATCCAGGGAATAAATTATTCAAAATTTGGGACAGTTTGGAGTTGATAGTTGGGGTCATTTTCTGATCAAGGTCAGCCCTGCAGGCAGGGCAGGAATAGACTTCAGCCTTGAAAGACCGTTGTAGACAAGACTGCAGAAGAGATTGAAATTATTTTTTTTCAATACCATGGCGTTGTGGAAAAAAAAATCTTAAATCTAAACATAAGAAAACCATACTTGGTGGTTTTGCCAATCAAAGTTTATGAAATGACTTACCTTGCAAATATTGTGTGAACAGGACAAGGTGATGGGTTTACAGACCAAGTCTTGGCAGCATATACAGAGAAAAATTTCCTCAACTTTATCGTGAAAAACCTGAAAGCAAAATGATATATTTGTGATCATTCATCATTATAAAGCTAAAATCACATAGCTGTAGCATGCAAAATTGTGCACTGTTGAGTGGTGCCTGATGATAGCTGAGATGTTGAAAAGATAAAATAGTTTATTTTTGTGTAGCTTTGAGGGTTAATGTGCAACATGAAATTTAAGGGCTCATTGATATGTAGAAGTTAACAACAACAGAACCTTTGACTATTGGAATCTATCAGTACAATGCCAAAATTTTTTTCAAAAACAAACACTGTTATAAATTTTGTTACCTTTGAACCTTCTTTAACAAAAGACAATGCTTCATTCCAAAGCTTTTTGTTGACACTATCTTCTGATATTAATTTCTTTATGCCAGATTCAATGGAATATTTAACCACTTTGGTCTTTTTGGCAGATGGTTCTGGGGTACTGTCAACATCTGTTGTTTTTTCTGCTAATAAAAATCAGAATAATTTAATACAAACAGAAAGTGGATGTCATGTTTAAGTAGATCTCCATAAAATAATTTTAAAAACTGAATTATAAATAATAAATGTGAAAAAGAAAACATTGCTAACCATCTGTTTTTCGCTTCTTGCCCTTTTTCCCAGGTGTTTCATTACTTTCTTTTTCTTTCTCAGCCTCTACATAGCCTTCAGGATACTAGAGAGAAAAAAAATATTATTTTTCATTGCTAAAAAAAAATCAAACATAGAAGCGCATAGTGTTAAAATGGTCTTCAAACATGTACCTACCTGCATTTTTAAACCTAGCTCTTCAATTCTCTTTTGGCCATCTTCTGTCCATGGAGCAGGGATAGGGTCATCACGACGCAATAAGTAGCGCCACACAAGAAAACCAGATTTGCCTTTCTCAGGCCAGTATTTCACCACCTGTAATTAAGGGATGTGTCACTAATTATCTTGAAAAATGAAAGTTTTGAAGCCAAATTAAATGTTAAACATGACAGAGCATAGATTACTAAAAACATCACGAAAAGATGACTAGGATTAGTGAGGTCACTAAAATTTTGATTGATTTTACAGCCTACAAGCTAACACAGAATCCACTAATATAAAAACTACACAACAAAGTAAAGAAAGATCCATACAGACATTTTTGGGTCAATATTTCACTGAACAACAAACACAAAACTGGATGATGTATCAAATGAGAGGGCCCACAACTGGTAACCAGAAAGTTCCTACACTCAAATTCATCCAGCTCTGACTAGATCGCTGACACTAGTCTGGGCCAGTAAAAATGGCAGGGCTTAGTGCTGGCCACAATCACTTATATAGAGGTAAAAAACATAGACTCATACCTCATTTGACCTATAGGTGGTCAGTATTGAAAGGGAACTTAATAAAAACTGTCCCCCTACCTTGTAAATACCATCATAGCGGTTCCCTTCTTCTGGAGCATAATCAGAATGTTTCCGGCCTTTACAATTACGCACAACCCTCACAGGCTTGCCTCCCTTCCAGTCTTTAGCTGAAGCACCTTTTTTGTTATCTACTGGAGCATTGCAGTTTTTAGCAAGAGCCCTAAAAGAAAGAAAAAAAAATTACAAATTAAAACAGACTCTCAATGGAGACAGCTTAGAATAAAATAGCAGCATAAAGTAAACTTACTTGTTCATTCGTGTTAGAGTTTGGTCACAGGACTGCTCAGCTGTTCGCTTGTTTCCAGAAAGATCTCTACCACCACTGCCAGTGTAATAAAACTCATCACCATCATCCTAAAGATTAGAGGTGCACATTTTCCGATGAATAAAAATTTAATTCATTGAATTTAACATGCAATAAGCACTTAATCTTATGTAGCAACAACAGAACCAAATAAGGATTAGCAAACCTTAAATTGCAAGAAAAATAAAAATGCTAAAAATTGCACAAACCTTGTCATCTTCATATCCGCCAGACAAAACAATAGAATAAGCGCCATCTTCTTCTCTACCATGTATACCAGCAACATGAGGTCTATGCACGCCAGCTTCACTAACCTAAATGCATTTATAAAATAAAAATGTTTTTATCAACTGTGAAGACAAAATTTTACAAATGAAAAATATCAGCTGAGTGTTAAAAAGAGGGAAAAGAAAAAATACATACCTGAACCCTGAACTTCCACAAAGTGCCGACTTCCACACCAGGTATAGCCCCATAATGGTGAGATGGAACAACTGTGCACATTTTACTACGACCAACACAAGCCATACCCTTAATTTTAAAAAAAAAATGCAAATGTTTATTAAGTTTTACAACTAGCAACTTTTAGAGAAAACTTAAAAGACTTAATAACTAGTGACATGAAATTACCTTTCCCCAATCTCTGTTACTGGTACTGTTTGCAGATGCCATTTTAGATTTCTTTTTATTAGCTTTCAGTTTTTCACCTATTCTCACGATAGCAGTATCATCGTTCTTGCAATTTGGACAATACCTACAATAAAGATGTTTCCATATAAAGGTAAAATTTCACACTGATAACTTTTGTAAAATTATCAACTTAGGTCTTTACATTACACACAACTTCAGATCTAATAAAAATGTAAAATCCATATTTTAAAAATAGCATGAGGGAGGGTGTGAAGAGAGAGACACATCTTGGTCATGGCTGTTGTCTTTAGACTAGTAAAAAGAAACAACAAACCATTCATCTTCTTCTGGAACAGTTGCCAGAGGTGGATTCAAGCAGTACAGGTGATAGGCCTTGTTACATTCATCACAAAGAATGGTCTTCTCTGGATCTTTCTTGTCACCACACATGACACACCCGCAGTCCTTGCACTTCTTTGTTGGGTTGTCATTGCATACATCACACTCTGGTTTGTTCTCTCCTAAGGAAGATTTTTAAAATCAGATAATATAGTGTCTTCTGCAAATTAGCTGTAGTTTAAAAAAAATATAGGATTGTTACCACAAAGAATATTTTACAAAAAAAAAAATATTTATTTTCCACAAAAAATTTTAACTTTTAAGGGATCAAATATTCTATTATTCGATTTTGGCATAATGATGAAAACAAGCTACATTACTCATACAATGATTGTTATTCAACTGGCAAATTTAGATTACATAAAAAAAAAATAATTGGTGCTAGCTGTTTTTTTTTTGGAAAATCATTAGATTTTATTAAGCTGAATGTAATTACTGGATCAGGAATCAACCAAAATTATCAAAAAATTTAATTGACAATTCTTTCAATTGGGAGTTAATATAAAGAACATTGCACAAGTAGACAACCATGAAAATACAATGAGCAAAGAGTTAATTGCACTGCACAGGTTGAATCTAGAAATGACAAATGTTGCATGACATGAAAACTTACTTTTCTCTATATTAGCATTAGGATTGGAAGCAACATCTTCCTCTGTCAACTGACTGCCTGGTAATTCAATGCCAAAAAGTTCTTTGACAAAAAGAAGACGGCAGTTGTTTAGAGGGGTAAGGCCACAACTGCAAGAACAATATCAAATTTTAATTAAAAACAAAGAATATTGATAATTAAAGTACTAAAAAATATTTAACTAAAAGTAAAAATACCCATTAAAAACCAGGAATATTATCTATCTTTAATTTTGTTGTTTCCTAAATAGCATTTTTTAATAGTACAAAAATTCAATAAATCACATGTTGCTTGTTAACTGGATGTTATAATTTATTTAAGCATTAGATGTAAATATTAATAGTTACCCTATATAGACAGTTGCTGTCAGTTCTTTTATTGTTCTTGTATCTCTCTTGCCAGTTATGTAGCAGTCATACCAAAATCCTCTTCTCTCTGGCTCTTCGTAGTTGTAATTGGCCATTATGTGCTGTCCTATTTCTACATCTTGAAATTTAAGCAGAGTGCGAGCACGAGGTCGAATTTCTGTACTAAGCACTTTTAAGACATCTTCTGGGTACCTAAATTTTAAGATTAATAAAGCACCAACTATTAACATCTTACCACAAAATTATTCACTATCAACAAATAAGTTGTCATTGTGGGAAAATGAGATAGTTATGTAATTTTCATTTTAAGATAGTGTAAAATAAAACTGGTATGGCACATACCAAAACTTATGTTTTACCTACATACACTTATGACCAAATGAACTTAAAAGCATTGTTGTTTAAATAAGTAATAATAATAAGATTTGTAATCTAAGCACTATTACAATAATTATATTTTAAAGTAAACCAGGATAGTTAAACCTACAAGCAAAGTACCTGCAATAAATAAATTACAATACTGACTTACTTGTCAAAACATATGTGATATGTAAATCCATCTGGTGTACCAAAATCTAAGGCAGCCGGTGGTTTCTTGTGGGCAGATACATCACTGACTTTCTTACTAGGGTTGTCATTCTCATCAACATTTGTAGAGTTGCTTTCCTTACTTGGGGCAGATCCAGAGTTTGCATTCTCCTGCAGTCTTTGCTTGATGTCAGCATGAATTTCAGGCTCAACTTTAATTATCTTGGCTTCAAACCAAGCCCCTATGCCGACATCCCTGGCATCAATTATATCACCAACCTAAAGAAAGAAATTCAGCAAGAAATACTTATAAAAGCTAAAATGGTTACTTAGCAATTTGAATATTTTACTACAAGTGTTATTTAAAACAGAGATGAACAGCTGTTTGTAAACATTAGCCATATTAATACCTTATAAATAGCCCCATCTGAACTAACTGAAGCTGTCTCAATCGGGACAATAGGCTGAAAAATATAACACAATAGTAGGTATCCTTTTTTATAAACAATACACATTTAACAAGTCACTATCAAACTTTTTCTTCTGCTATTCAATTAAAAAAATATACTTAATTCTTTTCAGGTTAATTTTATTTAACTTATAAATGTATTCAAATTGTGGCAATACAAATTTTAAAAAATCATAATTGATACACATAACGGATTGTTAAAGTAAAAATTCTTTATCACTCACTTCTTTATTCTCCTTATCTGAACTGCTACCATCATCAGTGTTTTCGCTACTCTTCTCTTCATCTCCACTTTCTACCTTTTCAGCTGAGGTGGGATATGATACATTCTTTCGTATTAATATTTGAATCAGATCATTTAAGCCAACATCGTAGTCAAACAGTGTATGACCATCTTCCATCTAGTAATGAAAAAAGCATTTAAAATTTAAATTCTACTAAAATTATAACAGTATTTACATTCAAACAGAAATATAACTTAATTACCGACCAGCGACCAATACAAGAAAGTAAGCTATTAGGGAGAATATTTATACTGGTGTCCCGATAATGAAATCTTCTTTAAAAAAGGGTTAAGGGGTGTTAATGGTAGTTAACCAAATACACACATGGCTGGCTAATGTCAATGCTAACCCTGTCCCTAACTTACTAACATTACACTAATCTGACTAACCCTGGTCTTACCATAAGTCTAACCCTAATTTCTAACTTAGTAGGCCTAATTTCTGTAGGCCTACTACTTAGTAATCATAATGTCGATAATGAGTAGGCCCCCTACTTATACTAATATACTAGTAGAATCTAGATCTATAGAATAGATATTTTAGATATAGATTCTAGCTAGATTCTACTAGCTAGCCTAGATCTAGACTAGCTAGTAGTAGTAGCTAGAGTAGATGAGTAGAAGATCATCATTGAAAATGAATTAGCCTATCAATCATTGTTAGATTACACTTACACACTAGTGACTAGTCACTACACTACACTTAACACAGTCATTCATTAAAAAAAAAGACAAACCTGCTTCCCGCGAAAGAAAAGCCGCTGTTTATCTGGTTCGGCATCGAAAGGCTCCACAAGACGTTTTCTCAAATCTTCAATTTTTGTCAACTTACTCAGGTCGTCGATTCTCACTGTTTTGGATCCACTGATTGATCTGACTTGTATCCACATTTTTATAATAAAGGATTTTTTGTGATATGAAAATAGATGCAGCTCCAGGCGCCGAGTAACTCAATGAAAAATGCCCACACGTAATCTCCCAACGAAATTTCAGATTGTTTTGTAGACTTAATAGATCTATCTAGACTACAGCCTAGTCTAGTGTGTAGCAATCGTGATTCTATGCCAGCTCTGCCCTATTGAGTCCTATTGACACATGTGGAGATGGCGGGAAATGGAGGAGAATGTGGTATCGCAATATTATATTTTTCGATACCCTCACATAGACTCATAGGCCTAACTTGAAGTCACAAGTCAAACTAGATCTAGATCTAGATATCTAGTGGTAAAACCTATATAGTTACTCCCTTAAAATAAAAGAATGTTAAACATTCAAAGTTCTTCCTACAAAAACAATATAAATCTAGATCTAGACTATTACTATTGGTATTTAAAATAATTTTTTAACTAGATTTTATAGATAGGCCTATATTATATTATATGAAATAATATAAACTGAAAGAGCACTAAATAATACTAGATCTAAATATTAATAATATCATTAATCATTGAAAAATAGAACTGGAGACAATCATAAATAAATTGCATTTACATCTATAAGCTATTTATATTTATTATTTAATATTTATCATAATTTTAATGAAAAGTAGTTTTATTTCATAGTTGAAAAAGTGCTAGACTAGATCTACATTTTAAAAATTCGCAAAATAAGCCTAAGCTTAAACTATTGGATTTGTCATTTCAAACTGTCTCAATTTTTTAGTGTGTAAAAATAATAATAGCCTACGGTTCTAGATCTCTAGATCTATAAATTGTAGATGTAATTTTGCATTAAACTTCATGCATGTGTTTCACTAATAATATTGCTATTTTGTTGGTAAGAAATTAGATCTAAATCTAATTATTTTTAAAAGAGGCTCAGTCACAGCTGATCGGATCGATCACATGACCATTGTTACTAACAACATGGCGGATGCCCGAGCTCCTCGTCTGTTAATCGACCTTAATAACATATTTCGAAAAGATCCAAATATGTAAGACTTTCCAATTTAAATCATTTATTTAAAACATTAGACCGCTAAACCTGTCTTTATGTATTAATCATTAACACATACAGACAGATTGATGGCAGAATGATTATTTTGATGGACTAACTAACTTCATCAATGACTCGATCAGTCCGTGAGTCAGTGACTCAGTTTTGTTTGGATTCAGTTACTAATCAGTATTCTTATTCTACATTACATCTGTCTTGTTTTTGCGTTGAAATATCAAATAATAAATGCCTGTGTTGTTAGAGATGTCTCAATAATATCTATATCTGGTAGTTCTGAAATTATAATTAACAGTATATTACTGGCCTCTATGCCTAACCATTTTTAAAAGATAGATAATTAATAAGATTATGTATTAATAATAATTAATATGTATGATTAAGATAGGCCTAAATGACTAAATGAAAATCAAGTTGTGTATTTAAAGTTTAAACTCAATATTTTATGTAGCATTTCATCATTTAACATACATTGCATTTTCATCTTATGAATTTTAATGTTGTCTTTTGGTTATCCACATAGATCTACAAATGTTAGCTAGATCCTCTGATAGTTTTTACCCTATTAGAACATCTAATAAATAGTTGAAGTACAAACATTTACTAACAACACAATGATTTTCTTCTTACAGAGATGAGTATGATATTTTACCAGTAGTCGAAGCTACACACAACAGGTCTCCATTTTTTGTTGAAAATCACAAGCTTGGAGTTGAAGCATGGGCAGTTAAGCTGCTGGTGAAATATTGTGCTAATAGACTTATTGGATGGAGGGGACAGAACAGTTCAGAAAAGTGTCTAGGTATATGAAAAGATTATAGTTTTGCACAAATGCTAGCTTTTGAGTAAATTTAAAACAGCTTTTACATTGTAAAACACTTAAGAAGTCTTTTGCAAATTTAAAAAAAAAACATCAATGATCTTGTCTTTGTGAATGATTTTAAAAGTTTTCTAACAATACGTAAAACCATTTTAAATATGTTTAAACAATATTTTTCAGTGTAATATCAAGTCCTTAAAGTGTTTGTATTTTATTTCTAGATCCTGTTGAAGTTTCTCATCTGAGCAGAGCTGTGTTATTATTCAATCCAGATAACTACACAGCTTGGAATATTAGGTAAAATTAGCACTGCCTTGTTTCTTTTATTTTAATCCACTTTCATTAGCTCTGTTTTTTATTCTATTAATAAAATGTTTCTCTAAAACCACTGAAGCTTTGTTAGTACTATGTTAATATTAAAAATATAAAAATAGCATTATAATATTTTGAAGGAAGGAACTCATAGAAAGTGGATACCTATCCATCAAAGATGATCTTTCATTTGGGGTTCTCATCATCTCCAAGCATCCCAAAAGCCCAGAAACATTTATTCACAGGTAAAGGCATGAGTTTTGTTTTTTTTTCAGTAGGGTTGGAAGCTAACAACCAAAAGATTTAAAATAATAGTTTTATTGCTAGATATGTCCTACTTACAAACTCATAAGCCTTATATGTGTAGTAGTAATATATCAGTTAATTGTTGTAATCATCTCCCTTTTGCGCAAAAGACATGTCTTCCTTGGCCTTCCCTGTTTTCTTCTTTCCTGAGGTGTCCAGCTAAGCGCAATTCCTGTAATATCTGGAATTCTCAAAACATGACCCATCTAGCGTCAAATTCTTTTTTATTTTTCTAATGACACTTTTTAATTGTAAATGGTCGTTTTGTTAACAAAATAATAGATGCAAAATAAAATGGATTAAAATTTCTATACTTCAGGCGATGGCTCTTTCAACAACTTCTTGATCATTGTTTGTCATCAAGCTCTGGTAGCAACAGTTCTTCTTGTTCAAATGTACCTGGACCTAATATGGAAGTAACAGCAACTGTGGAAAGTATTGATTTGGATTTAAATGAGCCCACAGAGACAGGATTTTTCAATGGGGCATTTTCTTTAGAGGCTAGTAGGCTACTGAAAACACAGACACACTTGGAGCTAGATGTTTGTGCAACGGCAGCTGAACGATATCCTTGCAACTACCACGCCTGGTCTCATAGAATTTGGATTGTGAAATATTGTCTTAACTGTTCTTTGCAGGTTAGATTTTTTTAGGTTACTAATGATACCTGTCTTATACATTTGATTCCACTTTTTGAAAACTTTTATATTTTCTTAATTGACAATGCAGGTTAGATCCTTCGCTTTTTTATCTCATTGTATTCCAATTTTTTTATTAACCCCATTTTATATATATTCTTAATTGTTATATCTTTCCATTCTTATCTCAAACATTGTATTCCACTTTTTGAATACCCATTTTACACATGATCTTAGTTGTTCAGTGCAAGTTGGATCTTTACTTTCTCTTATTTTAAACAACCGCATTTTTTAAAACCCATAATAAAATTAAATTTTGGATACACTATACACTACTATTAATCTTCTTTTTTGCTTAACAAGGGTGGATATAATTTTCAGTTCACTTATATTCTATTCTCTAAATTGATTTTATTTACCTCTATTTTGCCTAACCAGGATAGAGAAAATTTTTACTTTATTTGTATTTAATTCTCCATATTGATTTTATTTAGGTAAAGTAAAATCCTTACATTTTGCATTCAAGGGTGTTTGAATTATTATCTTCTTTTAAAGCTTCATCTAATGTAAAAGCTTTTAGGTTGGCCTCTTAATTTTTTTTGCTGGAGAGGGAATGTCCCCTTTTAACAACTAGCTTTAGTACATTGATTTCATTAGACAAAAAATCATGACTTTGTAAGGCTTTCTAAATATTAAAACACTTTTAAAAAAAATTCAAATGAACTGATGGTTGTCTGAAAATAAATAAATCACTTTTACCAAAGATATCCACTTCATTGTGTAATAATTATTAAAACTAGTTTCTGTAAAAATTAAATCACAGTACTATTTTTTTTTTAAACATTATTCAGATACTACTAAAAGAACTGAAGTCAACAGAAAAGTGGACATCAACACATATATCAGATCACAGTGGCTTTCATTACAGACAGTTTTTACTTACAGAAATTCATGCTAGAAATGACAGGTTTTCATCATTACACTCCCAGAACTCAACAGATCTTTTTGTTAAGGAGATGGTGTTTGTTCGTGACCTGATTGACACCTACCCAGGTCATGAAGCTTTGTGGTACCACAGGTTTGTCACCTAGTTTTTACTTAGGCCTCTTGATATAATTTAAAAATATGAACATTTTATATGTAGCCTATTTATGTACATAGCTGACAGAATCTCTGTGCATATTCAGCTGGTGAATTTGTTTGATTTCCGTATCTAACATATTGTACATATATTCCGGTGATCATACTGTTTGCCGAAATTAACAAAAGCACATTTGGCAGATTTCTGTTTTGGAACTAATTTGAAGTTTTTATTTAAATCATTTGTCCTATTCAATTTACAATTGTACAAGTCTTATAAGAGGTTTTGTGTTGGTACATGAAATATAAAACAAATCAGAAAGCAGTTGAATTTTTATCTGTTTTACAAACAAGAAATTTAATTTTTTTTTAAATATTTGTTCATAACATAAAAAAAATGGCAGATTATGAAGTGATAGTAATAATATATCAGTTTTTATTTTGTTACAGAGTGACATTGTGTCAAATTATGTTAAAAAGTGTTTTCACATTCATATGAAAGATTTTCTGATAAATTATATATATATTTTTTTTGCAGAAGATTTGTGTTTCAATCCCTCTTAAGGCCTGAACATTTGGAATTGAGTGCAAGATGCTGTCATTTACACCCGAGAAATGGACATGCCCCTGCATGTAATGAGGTGGATCAGAACTTCAAAACCATCAAATCATTTTTAGCTGCTCAGGAAATTGAATCTGTCACAACCAAAGAAGCCAGCTGTTCACACAAGTACAATCAAATGTATTGTAAGAAATTTGTGCAATGGATTCAGAATAGCTTTTTATAAAATTTACTACATTTCAGAAAGTTTACTTTTCTCCGTCTGGGAAAAAATGGTTAACTTGAAGAAAAAGGAACTATAAATATTTGTGATGGTTTTAGTTTCTAGAACTAGATTTTATTTAAAATGTGGCTTTGTTTAGATTTTCTAGTCATAATGGAAATACCACTCAAACAAGGGTAAAAAAAAAGGGCATATTAACCTTTTAGTTCAGAATTGTTAAAAAGTTTATTTCTTTGCAGCATAACTTGATCCACATAATTTTTAATCAAATCATGCCATTGAATGGTTCTTGTATACCCAAATATTGTTTTTAAAATACGCCCTATTAAGGTAAAAATATTTTATATTATTTCTCGTTTTACCTGATATGAGCTTTATCTTAAAATATTTTCAAAAATATTCCTGCATTTACTTAGATTTGCCATATTGAGTATTGTTGCTGTTGTGTTTACCATGTAGATGAAAATGCTTATCTGTGATGACAGCTACTATCCACAGCTTATAAATAATTTAATTGAATGTACATTTAAACTTTACCCATTTTCCATTTCTTTAATGTATGTGCACATTGCAGCCAGTTTTATTTCATGTTTCTATAACAATATATAGTTTATTAATGTTTGCAATGTTTTTTTTTTTAAATATCATGTTTATCAAAAAGACTATTTTAACATGACAACAGTTGATCTTGTACATTTCGATTTTAATCTTGATCTATTTGAATTGTGTTCAAGATTTTAATGCTGATTGTATTTTAGCCTAGCCAGGTTGTTGTTTTTGTTGTCCCTGAAAAGCATTTATTAGCTCATTTCTCACTTCAGCATCAACACCTAGCCTCCATTTACCTGCAAAAGCTACATGCATTATACCTTTTAATCAAACCCCTAGATCTAATTAACATGAGTAAGCAGCATGGGATTGAACAAAGTTTTAAAATTTTCTTGTTATTTTTTGTGTGTGAGTTTTTTCCCAGCTCAGGAATTCATTTTAATGCAAAACTTAGCTTAGTTCTTAGAGTGCCTAATATCTTCTATTCACAAAACAATGTTTTAGTGCTTCACAGAAACATTTTTTTTATAAACAACAATTACAAAACTATTTTATTTTTTAAAAGTTTTAAAACAATAACTCCTTTACTTTGAATACAATTTTAGTATTGCTATGAAGTTTTAACATTAAAGCTTTAATACAAGTGTGATGTTGTTTATAATAAAAAAACACAATTTTCTTCTTCATCATCATTAGTCTAGAGCATATTTTATAGCTGCTAGTACATTCCTTTCTGCAAGTAGTGAGTTGTGATTAAAATGTTACCATAAGGTTGTTGCTGTGGAAGATGCATTGTATGGTTTTTTTTAATATGGCATAGATTACTAGTATTTAAAATCAAAGTAAAATTTACATAGTAAAGCTTCTGCAATTTGTTACCTAAATAAAAAAAACAATTGCAAATATTTTTAATTTTTGCCACTCTAGCAGAAGGTATTATCCTGTTTCAGAATGTCTTTTCATAACTGAATTTGTTCTCTTGAGAAATTTTAAATTTATAAAGTATAATTTTAAATTCATGAATGTATAATAAATAACCTAAAAAAATTGCCACTCTTAGCAATTTACTTGTAAAAAGTTTTTTGATTCAGTTATTTATAAACAATTTCATGAGATCACTCACTGGCAGCATAAAACAGTCTGTTGGTAAACAATAACTTACAAACCCATATGTGTTTAGTGACTAAAGTCACCTATAATGTCAATATAAATTGAATTTTTTTTCATCAGTGTTTGATATTTAATTGCCACACTTGCAATGCATTTATTGAATTTTAAGTAAAAATACATGAAGTTTATGAATTGTTGTGGGCCTTGTGCTAAATAATAGCACAAAACTGAATCTCTTACTTCAAGTTCTCATCATTTGAGAATATGTGATAGTCTTAGACTATATATAACTATATATAGACTATATAACGTACAAGCTCAGAAAGAGGATAGATCTGGAATAAATTGCTGGTAATATGTTGTTGAACTTTGTCTCATACTGTTAATCTTGAGATGAATGCAAATAGTTCATTACAATATGCACCTTAAACATCCGCCCCATTGCTTTCATTACTTGGTATCTGGCTTAATCCTCTAGCTGTACAAACTAAGAAATAATGTTAAAATATATGTTGTTGCATTTTTACTATCAGTTATTAATAAAATAATGGGTAATATTATGTTAATTTTTAAAGCAAATGAATAATTTTACTTATTATTTAATTTATGGAAAAAAGTATACATTTTTTACTACAGCTTAAAAATTTAGTTGCATATTTAATTTACTTAACAAATTGAAGTGTTCTATTAGACAATGCATGATCTTCTTCCCTCTTCACATTAAATGGTGTGGGGCTTTTCTGTATTGTTGAATGAATTGCTAAGCTGCTTGCCAACATAATTAACTGAACAATTTTTGTTCAAAATCCTTGAAAATATTAACCAACCATCTCGTATTGATTAGCCAGACTTCCATATATAGATACTGCATATTTCCAAACGCCTGATAATGTCCTGTTATATACAAAAATACAGCACTAGTTTTTCTTTTCTAAATTACAGTACAACAAGCTATTTGGTGCACTACTTTACAATATATACTATTTGTAAAAAATTATTTTTACAAGAATTTTTTTTCAAAATCAATGCAAACATTCACCAGGACAGCATTTAAATGTGTCAATATTTAAGTAATCTCATTTAAAAAAATATTTTAAAGGTTATTTAGTGAAGTACATTCTTTAAACTATCCCTGCATTACAATATTGTCTTGAAATAATCATGAACAAATAAATAGTTTTGTAACTTCAACATGTGGTTTTATTTTTTTACTGAAACCAACTAGTTTTAAGTAATTTTTAACTGTTTAAACTATTTATTTTAGCGTTATATATATTGAACCTTTAACAGTATCTAAACTGTTATTTTATCATGTTAAGTAATGCCTGCTTGGTCTGGTATGTTTCAAGTGAATGATTTCTTTAACATCGAATAACTAGTTGTTTATATTTTGTATATAGTTTATTGTACAATGTGTCATTAGCCTTTGTTATTTATTGCAGTACTTTTTATTTAATAAACAGTATATATAAAAACAATATATTTTGTTAAATAAAACTTTTATTATTTTGAAAAATGGTTAATCAAGAGATATCTCAATTATGATACTCTCGTAATAGAGAAGTCACAACAACAATATTTTCATACAAGATTTTTTGTTGTTGGGCATTTTAGTGTTTGATCTGCTGGAATGAAATGAAACAAAATGCAAATTATAGGACCATCTAGTGGAGAAACACAATATGCATCATGCAATGAGGTGACAAGAAAGATGCACAATGAAAAAGTGCACAAATAAAGTGCACAAGGACATTTTTTTTCTTTTTAAATCGAGCTTTTAAAGACATTAAAATGTACACTGGAGTACAAGAACACATTTTTTCACCAACTGTGACAAAATTAAAGTGGATTGGTATAATTAGTTTGTGTTTGCGCATTTTTCTGGGAACCATGCAATGAAACTTAGATGTTCTTGCACTGTGTTGACATTTTGGCAATCAGTTCTCTGGATGAATTTGAACATCAACACTAAGAAAAACAGTATTGCAATACATTTTCAAATTACCACATTGTTTAGTAAAGTATATGCGATGCATTAAAAATCCAAATAAAATTAGACTATTAAAATGTATATAGATTCTAATCCTTTTAATTTTAAATACACAAATTAGAAGGCCAAACACTTGTGGAGAGTAGTTGTGTACATAGACAATATAAAAAAATATTTTCTAGTTACTGGAAAATCTTTAAAATAAACAATTAACTCTCTTATTAGCCTCCAAAACCATTAACCTAACACATTACTTAGTCTTATATTCACCATACCCAGTTTGCTGTTTTCCTATTTACATGGAGGTGTTTATTGTAAATAAATTAAAATATGTAAATAAATATAGTTGAGTGTAGGAACAGTTACATCAATTAAAATAAAACATTATAAAACAAGCTAAAACTAGAGAGAAGCTTTACTAAGTGCTACTATAAAGTAGTGCAAACATCTTTAATTTAAATCTGATTTGTAATTTCTGTCCCTAATGAACACAGTTATTGTCCTTGGTTTATAAGGACACTCAAATTGTGTGAATTTCAACTTAGGGTGAATACAACTAAGTTATACAAGTGAGTTTTTAAATACAATGGATAATTATTTTCTAAACTATTTGAAATTCAAATGATGCTAAAACTTAAAATATTTCAGCAGACGATACTGCCAATTAATGTTTCGTACTTCAAATGTTACAATAGAGTACTCATTTCACTGGCTAAAATAACATAAAACAAATTTTTCAGATCTTTCACTCATCATCACTGCTTGATGTCTCTTCATCACTTTCATGCAAACCAGCAAAATCTTCATCAGTAAGTTGAATGTACCTGATCAAATGCAAGAAAATTTGGTTTAAGCTGACATATTGTGTTTCATAAATTGTTTCATGCTTGTTAAGTTTATAAGACTGCCATAACCATTTACACACAAGTTATATAATACAGAGGCTCATTGTAATAGGTATAGAAATGATGAAAAATTAAAAATTTACAAAAGTAAATGACACATAAAACATACCAACCTTTTAATATCATCTTTTGTCAGTTCTGCTATATACAATTTTTCTTGTGCTTGTTTCCATCTCTTGAAGATTTTAGGGATAGTCATGTTCCCAAAGAGAAAACCAAACTTGTCAGCTTTAATTGACAAGTATGGAACACTGCCATACTTTATCATTATTCCAAGTTTGTGGCCACATTTTTTTCCTGGTTCTGTGTCACCATTGCAAAATATCTCACCAACAAATTCTAGTCCATCCATAGGTTCAGGTGCATGTGTTTTGCATTTGATTTTAAGGCCATCAAACAATGCCCTGTAATTAAAATAAGTTTATACTGCAGTATAGATATTTATAAATGTATTGAGAAAATAGGCATTACTGGTATTTCCTTGATACTGTTTTGAATTAAATAACTAAAAAGTTTTGATTTAACTTTTTTATTGTATGTACATGACTTTTTTTAAATTTTTCTTTTTCATTTTTTTTTTCATTTTTATTTTCTTTTATTCACATAATATTTTTCATGCATGACTGACCTGTCTACAGGTACAAAATATTTTCCCATGATATTTCTAACATCTGAACCCTGTATTTCAACAGTTCTACACATTGGGCATATCTGTGATGGAATGATCAAACTGATTAGCATTAAGAAATAATGAACAAACAATTATTAACACAAATTGGAATTATTACTAGACCTCCTGCAAAATGGTGAATTGCTTAACTACATTTTAAACTCAAGAAGAATAGTGTTAAGGATGTTAATTACAGTCTTATATATCATACCTTGTCAATTTAAGTACTGTCTTATTAGGTCTGGGATGCATGTTTAAAATTTAGCCTACTTGGCAATTATATTGTAATTTAAATTCACTATTACTATTACATGTTTGCTGGTTATATTATTTCTTGTAAGATACAACTTTTAATACAAATGATAAAACTGTGACTTTAAAAAATAAATTAATTTGTAACTTAATTTGTAAAATGTAATTTAAACTAGTAATAAAATAAAGAATTGTGTAAAAACATAATTGTTATCACCATCAAAGCAATAGAAATTTATACTGAAGGTAGGTTTAAAAAATTGTATTATTTTTCTAAGCAACATTTAAGTGTGAATGTTTACCAGTTTAAATGGCTCATTATTTGAGCTTCTCTGAGTTCCTGCTGTTGCAATATTTTGCTTTAGCTGATGAATTCTGATAATTTCCTGAAGTACCCCGGGATCTCTTGTACTGATCTCTTCTATGGCCATCTCCATTAATCTAGCTCTTTCTTGGTTTTCACGCTCTTTTTGACAGACTTTCTCCTTAGCCAAAAGAACAGATATTCCTCCAAACTTTCTACTTCTTCCTGTTTTGATAAACAATTTACATGACAGCAACTTAAATATTGTTGATGGTAAAACAAAGAAATGTAACAAGATAAGCAAAGTTTTCTTTCTATTAACATTGTGTTTTTTTTTAAAATAGTATTCAAGATGTGTGACTTCTGTTTAAGTTGCCAATTCTATTGACAAGACCTTGACTTATATTTTCACAACTAAGTAAACTTCCAGAACTTCTCTTTCATTTTTCATCTTAACAAATAAACAGTTCTACGCAACCCTAGAAAAAAAGATCAGCTATGAAACAAAAAGATTGGGTAAGTACTCGCCTCTAGTTTGCACTGTTGTGACCTCATTGCCAATTTTATTGTACTTGATCACTAAATTACAATTAGCAATGTCGATTCCCTCCTCCGCCACTGATGTTGCTACAAGAATTTTTACATATCCATGTTCAAAATTAAAACGTGCACCCTCCTGCTGATCTTTTGACATTCCTTAAAAGTCAGATGGCAAGAATTAGTGTGTAGGATTATATTGGTACTAATTTAAGTATTATTTTCAATAGTTTAACTTATGAATTAAAAGAAATGGCCAAATCTATTTTCTTTTTCAAATAAGGTCTATCCTTCATAAATTTTAAAATGGTTTAACAGCATTTACATGTTATAACTTCCTTACTAAAAGTTTGTTCTAAAGCAACGAAAACATTTTCTTGGCAGAATTTCTACAAAAACATTTCTTGAAAATAAACTGTAAAAAAGAAAATTATGTAAAATAATAATATTTTACATTGGGAAAATAACCAAATTATTAAAAAAAATACTGACCTCCTTTTTCCTCTGAAGCACTAGTGCCAGTAAAAACAGATGCATTTAAATCTGATAATTCACTTCTGTTCAGCCAATCAGCAAGAGCTTCTGCTAGTGCTCTTGTTCTAACAAAGATGATGCACCTAGAGTCTTGACTGTTGGCCATTCTTTGCTTGATGATTGCACTTAAAATTTCCAAGTTTGGATTGGTGGATACTTTTTTACTTGAAAGTCGTACAAGTTCTGAGAATATAATGTGGATACTTTTTACTTGAAAGTCGTACAAGTTCTGAGAATATAATGGTACACTTGTGGCATTGATTATTTTTAAACACCTATAAAAACATTTGTTAGAGGTATCATCAACTATATCAAATTCAAAAGACTGATTATTTCAGATATACAATTTGATATACATTCAACAAACATGGAAAATCTACTTATAAATTATGAAGACTACATTATTTTGAAATGCATCATTTAATTTATTTATTTTTACTAATGCAAACCTTCAAAGTAATTGCAAAGAATGATTTCTACTTCAGTTTTGTCTGGGTTCTCAACATACTCTTTAAAACTTTTTTTCAAATATTTCACAACATCTGTAGACTCTATCAGATCAAAAGACTCCAGTGCAAAATTATAAGCCTAGGTAGGAATGGAAAACATTACAATCAAAATACAATGAGATAAGAGTTATCTTTATTTTTATATGTTAAAACTAATCAAAAACTTTAATATTATATTGTAACACTAAAACCACATGTGGTTGATAAACACATAAATTAGTTTTACTCCAGTCTTAGCTAAATGGTAAATTGTTAAATATTTAACAAGTTACATTATGCATTATGTTCTCAATGATGTTGTATAATATATGACATGTTGAGATCTCTTTACTGCCTCTAATGTGGGTTTAAAGCCATCTTTAGGGTGCTATACTTTAATAATTGCTATTTATTTAATCAAAACTACCAGGTTGTATTATTAATTTACTGACATCTTTATTGTCTTTCTTATTATAGTAAAATGTAAAGCTCTCTTTCAACCCTAACAATCCATAGGTCAGATTTAGTACAGTTCATGTTTCTTGGCCTTAGCCTATGAAGGGATGGTGTGGTCATTATTTCCAGCTGCTTTTACTTTCCCCAACATGGTGAGTCAGGCACCTATTAGATCTGGTGGACTTTCGAGTCTGAACTTAAGATGGTTGGACGCAGCCAAATGCTCTACCATTTGACCACACTGTCACAGCTCTCTCTCTTTTATTATAATAGACTTTAAAAGGTTTGGGCTTAGAACTTCATTTAAGAATTACCATTTTATTCAAGTAATGTTTAAAATGTTATTTTAAAATAATTTGTAACAAAATAATTACCATTAAATAATTGGAGATCATCACCAAATGTCTCACAGTCAAATTGTTGACCCCCATATGCAAGCTCAGAGCAGCTTTTTTTAGTTTAACCACCCATTGTCCGTACGACAGATCATTTTTAGCCTTAGGTGCGCAGACTGCCAGTTCACCCACAGTTTTATCACCCAAAGCTAGGAATAGTATTTGTTTTAACAAACCTCAATGTTATTTCATGCTTTGTTTAAATTGTATTGTAACTTCCGAATAAAAATTAGGCCCTATATGAATTAAGCTTTGATTTTTTACATTTTTTAATCATTATTTTTGTTGTTGATAAATTGAAATAATTTTCAATTAAAACTCCATCAGCAAATGACTAGTGATATTATTTAGTTTTTAAAACAATTCTTGAAAAGGTTTTATGCATTATCTATTTTTATATTATCAAAATTATCAAAATTAAATATATTAGTAATCATAATATGGTGTTTAATTAGACTACCTTTTGCATATTGTTTGACATGCTCCTCAAGTTTCATTACGATGTCAATAATTTTTGTATAACACTCATCTGGTACCAGCTCTTTAAGACTAAACATTTCTAGAAAAAAAAAAATTAAATGTTAACTTTCAATACAAATGTAAAGGGTTTTCTATAAAGTTTATCATACCAGAAAGTTAAATAAATGCCTTTTTAAAAAAATCTGTTTAATAAGTGTATTTTAAGTATGTTGTTGAGTACAGTGTTTAATTAAGAATGGGTATAGGGGAGATAAAAATCAGGCATTATAGTTCTCAAATTCAGCTTGAATATTGTGGCTTCTCCAGTTTGTTGCTTCAGTTTCACTGAATGCTACATGCACACAAACAAACTATTCAGTTACCCTCTGTTGGCACAGGAACAGTTTTCCTCAGCTCAGCCTTGTTCTCTACCACAGTACACATGTGGGGTGCATCAAGGTTGCCTAGAACTTCAAGAACACTTTCTTTCGCTTCATCCAGGGTCTTGGATTTCTCAATACCAATAGAAGCTGTCAGTCCGACAATCTATTTATTTAAGACATTTTTTTATTAAAATAGAGAATTTTGAAAACAAGTTTTTTTTCAAAAACAGAAAACTCAAAAAGTTTTAAGGTAGTGAGAGTAGCCCTGCATTATTAGTAGTCAATCTAAAAAGTTGCACATTCATAATTTGAAATTTGAAAAGTTTAGGAAAATGTAAAAAAAAAAAAATGAAATTTTGTAATATTACAAGCTTAAATGTAAAAATATTTAATGAAAACAATAAGAAAATATTTGGCATTTCAAAATGTTAAAAATTTGCTTTTCATTTACACTTGTTAGTAGGTTTTTTATAAAAAGAACAAAAATCAAAGACTCACTTGTGGCAAGTGGGATAAAGTGCCTTGTAGTTTGGCTTTTAAATAATCTGACATCAGAAGGTTGTAAGGCTCACAATTTCTGGTATGATGGCACTCATCAAAAACAAGTAAGGTGAACTTGCTTAGTTTTAAACCTTTTCTTTGTAAATTATTGACCAGGATCATAGGGGTCATTACTAAGACATCATTGTATTTTAGAAGCATCCGAAGATTTGAGCTGTTTTTATCCTTCCCAGTCACACAGATTGTCTGCAATTTGATTTTAATAAAACAAAAATATGAGATGTAATATAACAATAATCAAGCTTAAAGGAATAAAGTAAACATAAAACAAGTGATATAAGTGAAGCTTTTAAAACTTGCAGTAGTTTTTATAAACTGTTAGTTGTTTTTTTTAAGTTAAAAATTTAGAAAGTAAAGAAATCGAAGGGTACCTTCAAGCTGTCTGGCAAGTATTTGCACAATGATTTGTATTGCTGAGTTGCCAATGGTACTGTTTTAGCCAAAAATGCCACTTTCTTTTTCCTTGGGCCTAGAATATCAAATCATCCAAATATGTCTTAGAATCATTCAAACTTCTTAAAATTTTATTTGTAGGTAAATACTGCTTTTGTAACAAATGCTAGCTATAATTATGAGAACAAAATTTTCAGAACAAATTATAGCTTTCAGTTTCAACAGTCAGGCATAGCCTACTTGTGTAAACTCTTAAATATTATTAGATCTAGATCTATATATTTACATTAAAAAATGGTTCATCATTAGTCTATGGCTTATTGCTTTAAAAAAATCAATTAAAATTATTTTTAACATATAGACTACCATCAGTCCTCTGAAAATGATTTTGTATAATGTATGTTGCTACTCTTGTTTTCCCAGAGCCTGTTGGTGCACATATCACAGCATTTAACCCTTGCAGTGCTTTCACAGCCAGTTCTTTTTGATAGGCTCTTAATTGAAGCTTTGAGTTTTTAGCCTTCATGGTGTTTCCTAAAGATAAAAAAAAAATCAGTCTTTCTACATCAGTTAGAGAAAATTAATCTCAAGTTTTAATTCAAAATTAACTGTAAAATAATTAATTTAAATAGGTATAATTAAATTTAATAAATTCCAGAGCTAGATTAGCTGGAGACTGCAACTAATATGGGAGAAAAAACTCCAAAATCAAACATCTGCTACCTTGCAGATTGTTCTTAGAGTGGACAAAGGCTATGGAAGCAAATTAAAAAAAATATGGCAAAGAAAAGAAGACTTCTCATACAAAAAGCAAAAATTGTTGACTAATCCTCCCTCCCCCCATATTACTTGATTTATTGAAATTCTTTGTTCAACCAAATTCTCAAAATGTGTGGTGAATTACATATCTGCCTAAAAATCTGGCATTTATAATTGGAATCTATATGGGTGCTTTCCCATTTATAACTAGATTCTATATAGTCTTTCACATTTATAACTAGAATCTATATGGGTGCTTTTCTAATGAATATTTATAAAAGTTACTTATGATAATAAATTAGATTAATTTGCTTTGGTTGCATATTGCTGCATAATAATCTCAGAAAATAGTAAATAAGTCAAATTTACCAGGAGTATACTCCCCATCAGAAAAATACTCATCCTGATCATTTTCTTCAGATGCCACATTAAGATCATCACATTCATTCTTGTCTGTCAAAATGTTGACATCACTGGATTCAACAACATGGCTGTCTATAATTTGTTTCCATATTGAAAGAGTAGATTCCTCTTGTGATAACTGTAATTTGTTTAGCTCTTCTAAATGGTTTGGATCACCTGATAAAAATATTACTTCAATCACATTTTAGTTTTTTAAAACCCTAAAATTTAGACATAAGAACTTTTCAAAATATATTAAATGAAAAACAACACACACACAAAAACAAACAGCACACAGCAGGCCCATGAAAACAAATGAAATTGTTTTTTACTTTAGTTTCTGGTGTTTTAATTATTATTAACTAGATCTATAAGTGTTGATCATTGATATCATTTGGATATGAAACAAGTTAATTAAAAAGTCTAGTGACATTTAAGCGCAATTTCCTTATGTTATCTAAAAATAGCTCTGTCATAGCGTAAATCAAGAGCAGGGTTAGTAAAACCATTGGTTAGTTATTAAAACGTTTTTTATTAATTTTTTTTTCAGTATTTTACATGTTTTATTTACAATAGAGTTACATGACTAAAAACCATTGCGCGCCTAGCTACCGAACGTGATGGCGCAGCCATTGAACGTAATGGCACAGTTATTGAACGTGATGACGCGTGTGGTGTGGTTGGATAAAAATGCCTACTAATTCGGTCCAAATTTTAATTAATTCAAAAAAAATTTTGTGACCGAACGAAAGGATATTTTTGAAAACTTTCTTCGGCAATATTGTTCTAAATTATGGCAGGAATTGATTGGTAAATGTTTCAAGTCGCTAAGTGGTCTGGTTGCCGAGATATGGGCCAAAAACTGCATTTTTTTTTAGGTTTTTTGGCTTTTCCAGGAAATCCATGAAAGAAACCCGGAATTTTTATGGCCTATGTTCATCCTCGTAACTTGCTTAACATAATTGCTTTTGGAACTAGTCATCGATATTGCTTCGTTGAGGAAGAGATACGACTTAAAGCTGCGGACACACATCCATCCATCCATTCATTCATACATTCATACATCCAGAAATGACGGGTTAATAAACGCAATTCTCCAGAATGGAAATTGCGCTAAAAAGCTTAGATGTTTATGCCTGGTGCTAATAATCTATGAGGGGTTTTCTTTTTTCATTCAGGATATGAATAAAATTAATATATATATATATATATATATATATATATATATATATATATATATATATATATATATATATATATAAAATATATAATATATATATATATATATATATATATATATATATATATATATATATATATATATATATTTATATATATATAAAACATTACAAATGTTACATTGCCTCTAATAGTTCTAGTCTAGTTAACTTGGAAAGTACAGAATAGACATTCAATAGAGTAAATACAAAAATATGCTACCTGTAAAGTTGCTATAGCAAGCCATCTTTGCAAGGATGTGCTTTAGAAAAGAGTTCACCCTGGTTGAAACAAAAAATTTAAAATCAATTTGTCACATTCATTATCATTATGACATTATGTCTCATGAGTCATTAATGTACTTAACTTAACTCTTGCTTAACCTTTTTTATTAGATTAGATCTAGGCCTAGATCTATATAAATATTATTCTGCAAAGATCAATCTGGATTCAAGTAGTCAATTAATATTATATAGATGATAAAAACTAGATCTAGATTCTAGATCTAGATCTAGACCTGAACGTTAACTACAGTAACCTGACAACTTGAATCCTGGAAATAGTAAGGTGTAATACTGAATCATCGTAGATTTCATGGTGATGGAATCGGAAATTCCCTAATTAATAAAATTATACCGAAACCGAAAACGATTTTTCCGAATCATGTAAATAGGGCATTTGGTACACGTAATAAATACCAGTATACCAGGTATCATATTTTTTTTAACATTTTATTTAGATAATTATTTTAATTTACAGTTACTCAGAAATTAACTTTTAACTTTGGTATTAAATACTAATAAATACTATTCATTAAATAGTAAAAACAATAGGCCATTTTAAAATTATTTTAATATTTTTATTTTGTGGTTATTTATTCACTATTCAGTCAGTGGTCCAGTTTGAGTAACTTAAACTTAATAATAATTATAATAATAGTTTTACCCTACTTTAATATTCCAGAAGTAGTCTTAAACGTATTTAAAAACCGTTTGTTTATTTGTAGACATAGAAGCCAAGACATCATAAATTCATAAATGAAGTAGATCTAGATCTATAGGCCCTAACCTTCATTTAATTCTGATAATACAGTTTCACCACACATAGATCTAGATCTAAATGCTTCTTAATCAACTTAATCTTTTAATGATTTAATGTTAATTTATTTAAAGCTAAACGTAAACATTCAAATGACTATAGACATATAGATCTAGGTCGATAAGGGTCATGGGGTTGTCCATGGCATACGCCAATATCTTAAGAGAATACTGTTTAAATTGCATGTTTAAAGTTTAAGAGAAAAATCAGGTTTAGCTTTACACTTTACACTAATAACTAATAATTATTAAAAATATCATATGAATAGGCCTAATAGATTTTATATACATTACTTTTTCTACTGTTGTCTAATTGGCATATAAAAATAGGTTTGAAAGATGGAGATGGAGAACACCAATTTAGAGATGAGAGCAATCTTTAATTCTTTGAAAGATACGTTTGTGAAGTATTTGCAGCCCGAGGAGTTACAAATGAAATGCAGTGTCATTGGTGAGTTGGAATCTAAACCTAAAATGATTTTAACTTTTAAGGAAGATGTCTTCTAAGTAAATAACAAAATTATTGAAAAAAGAGGCATAAACTTTAAGCTTTTTAGGTGGTCGCACTGACAAGAAGTAATTTACTGTTATAAGTCTATAGACCTATAACAGTCAATTACTGTAAATTATAATTATAATAGAATAGGGCCTATATCTTTAACTTAATAACTGTTTCAAAGAACAACTACAAAATACACGTTTTACACGCAGTATAGAGGCTATGTTGTTGCATAGTATGTAGAATTAGAATCTTTTGAAAACATTTGGTGACACAGTGTTAAGTCAAAAATACAAAAAGGTAAAATAAACTTTTGTAAAAAAAAAAAAAAAAAAAAAAAAAAAAAGTCTTTATGTTTCGTCCATATACGAACTTTTCAATCAGGAGATATAACCAGGTTAGGATCATTATGACAAAAATATTACTTGAGTTGTTTCCCTTATCACGGAACAATCACATCTTATCAACTACAGATAAAAAAAAATTAAAAATTGAATACAAAATTTGAAAAATGAAATAAACTGCTTACAATCAGTTTCAAAATATGTTTTAATGCAATAGTGTGCTGTCACATATTCTCCCACCTCCCTCTTATCACAATAGTTAGAATCCCCTAAACCCCTATTTAACTACTTAACTTACTATCTAATACGAAAACAGTCTGATTTAAATTTTACTCTTACCTGAGTATTGAAGATGTCAATAAAATAATATTTGGGCTTGAAAACTTCAATAATGAGGAGAAACAAAGAAAAATTAAAAACATGTATGAGATCTATAAGCCTACAGGACAATCAACGTTTACCTATGACCCCCAAAGTCGTACATTAAAAAAAAAACCAGATATTTAAAAAGTTTTTATCAAATAAAACAAAACATAAAACAGATTATTGCTATCATAATATCAAAATAGGTTTTAAATATACTCATATTATCAGCTTTTGTTCATTGATCTAAAGTACTTTTTTTTAGATCTGACATGCAAGAGGGCAGGCAAGGTAGAGTTTGTGTGTGTTGCAATAAATATTTGAAGAAATTGTTTGTGGTCTGTTCAATGCTTAACCTTTATCACTTTCCCTGTCTTGATTTGTATGCCATTCACACAGACTAACCAGAAATTAAACTCAGGATTTTACAGGCTAAATATCAAAGGTCCCACAACTCGGCCAAACCATTGACACACTTATCTGCAGAGTTTCTTCAAGGCATCTCTTTTGGGAAAGCAGAGTCCCCCCCCCCTGAACAAAATGGAATTGATATAGAAAATATAGAAATACCAGTGTTTGCCCCCCCCCCCCCCCCCTGCGGAAATTTGAAGTGCCCCCTTGGAGAAAAAAAGTTGTCTGGAAGAAACATTGCCTGCTTATCTGTCAAGTTAAAATAGTCCATGTGGATCTACTCTAGTATGTCATTGATTTTATTTTCTGTGGTAAACAGATCTAGATACCGCCTATTTTTTGTTAAAATTTCCATCTTCGGCATCTGATCAAGATTCTGTGCTATGAAATCATTAACACTTTTGAATTTATATATTTTGCTTAAGATCTATATTTTTCAATTTATACCGGAAATTTTTAAAATGTTGTAACATTTTTATTGACTTTATATGTATTTAATATTTATATATTACATATTAGATCAAAATGCTGCTCACATTTTTTCGACAACACAAAAGGATAGGGAAATAGCAGCTAATGAACTTTTTGAATGGCTTTTAGATGGTGAAGAAGAAAATGAGTATATATTTCATTTTGCTGAAGCATTGAAGGGTTTTGCTTCAGATCCAGGTATGCACTTTTAAATGTACACATTATTTAGGTCTGCTTATACATTTACATAAATTATAAGTACAATGAATAATAATCTTAACTAGATCTATCTGCACTGTAAAATTACTCGCAAATATTATAATTAATTAATGTTTGCAGCATCCTGTTTGTTCACTGATGAGAAATTGAAGGGACTGCGTGGTTTTTTAAGTGTGCCAGTTTGCTGTTATCTTAACTCACTAAATACAATCATTGATGGAAGTTTGATACAGAAATTAACTCTAAATGATTTAATTTTTGCACTTGATGAAATGCTTAATAACAAAGTCATCACAGCTGTAAGTAAAAAAAAAAAAATACTCTCCATTTTTTAAATTTAGAACAATTTAGATTATTTTTAAATTGTTTTGTTAGGCAGCATTTTAATTGATTGAATTCCATTCAATTTTTTTTATCAAAGCCAATATTGTGTATGTGAATAAATAAAAATAATTATGTGCTTTGTTTATTCTGGTGTACGTTTATAACTTTATCTTAGTAATTTTATCACTTGCAGGGGAAATTAATATTTTTTTAAATTTTCAATTAAAAATGAATGTAATAATTCTCCTTATTATTTAGAAAACGTACACAAGATGCAAATCTACCATGGACACAAAACAATGCTTTACAACTCTATGTAAATCCAGCAAAATAAATAAGCATGAATGGCCATTCATTTTTATAAATGCACTGGCACAAGTCCAACCAAAGCTGTTTAAGTTTTCAAGTTGTAATAAACACTCTAATCTTTTAGGTGAGGTAAATGTGGAAACATATGGCCTGTTTTTTTTTTATAAATATTCTCAAGTGGCACCACTTGTTTGCTAACTTTGACTTAATGTTTACTCAACTTTATTTCTCTGTTATGTGGAATGTTTAGCAATTAATTGTTGATGCAAAGAAATAAAAAATCAGACAAAAAATAAATGTATTTCTTGAATACTTACATTTCAAAAATATGATGGTGAGTTTTTTTTTTAACTGTTATCAAATTAGTTAAATTTCAACTAGTTATTTTAATTCTAATAAATTATTTTATTTCTAGATGGATTGTCAACTGAAAACACACATATCCAAACAGCTCACAGCGGTGATGCTCTCATTGTTGATAATTTTCTTCCAAAAAGGATGGCAGGTCCTCACAGTGTTGATAGTGATTTCTCAAGTATATGTGCTGATTCAAATACACAAAGCGAACATTTGATGGGTTAGCTATTTTATCACTCTATTAGTTTATTTTACATGCAAATATTTTTGTAATAGAAATATTATTTTATTAGATGTTATTTATTTTTAGACATTAAGCCTAAGTGAATATGTTATTTGCAATAATTTTTAAACTCACAAGTGCATAAAAAAAGATGTATAAAAAATATAAAATTACTTTTTTAAAGAAAGCATTATCGAGGCTGATAATGGTAAAATGCCTGATAAAACTATTGATGAGACACATGTTCTGAAAGTCTTACAGGGAACAGGTTTGTACTTTCTCATATGAGCTCACAACTGTATTTACTTGTTTCTACTTTTATAAACTAATAAAGTGAAAAATGACAAATTTGAGAAGTCATTGCTTAACGTTTTTTTTTAAACTGTTATGCAAATTAATAAAATTTCTAATAGTTATTTAAATAATTAATTTTTAGTCACAGACAAATCAGAGTCGATTGACAGCACTCTTATCAAAACTCAACACAGTGTTGGTCCTCTAATTGTTGATCAATGTCATCCCAAAAGGATCACAGGTCCTCACAGTGTATTTAGTGATTTCTCAAGTATATGTGCTGATTCTAATGCACAAAGTGAACCTTTAAAAGGTTAACTATTTTAATCTACAATAGTAAAAATATTGTTATATGTTATTATTTACTTGACATTTCTAATTTTCATAGGTGTAAGTAAAAGTATAAAATTGAAATAATTTTTTAAACTCACAAAAGCATTTCATTTTTAAAGAAAAGGATATAAATGTAAAAGCTGAGCTGGAGGAATCTGCTGATGAGTCACATGTTCGGAATGTTGTAAAAGTAACAGGTAAATAAAATCTCATCTAGGCCTAAACCTATATTAACTTGTTCCCACACTTGTAAAGATTTAAAAATTTATATATTTTACAGGCAAAGTATGAAATCCAGGCTTTCTATAGAATGTGTGTTATTTGCATGCACAAAATATAAAACACAAAACAGGTCAAGGTGGCTTATTAATTATATTAAATTTTTACAAATGATAGGAGGGAAGGGTATTAATTAATATGTGTTTATTTTGCTAAATTTACTCTTTTTTAAATTTACTGCATTTGTTTCTTATAAAGATATAACATGATAATCTCCAGCCTGATGTGATTCTTATAATTTTTTCAATGAAACACCACTTTATTGTACGAGTGGGGGGAATTCACTGAAATATTATTTAATGTGGGTGGGGGTGGTCTATAGAAATGTTTAAATACAAGATAAAGGGAAGGGGTAGGTAAAATGTCCCATTTGCATTATATATTATTATGATACATGCACATTTAGATACTCTTTTTATTCTTGTATTTTTGAACAATCATATATATAGGCCTATATATATATATATATATATATATATATATATATATATATATATATATATATATATATATATATATATATATGTATATGGATGCATGAATGCAGCGTTTACTTGTGCATATGTGTATGTCTAGGCCAATGTATAAATGTTTTTACATATATACATACATAATAATTTAGAACATCCAAGTGATACTGTAAAGCGTATTGATGGAAAACCACTGAGAAAGTATCAATTGGAATTAGCAGAAAAAGCAGCCTTGAAGGGTGTAAATACAATTATATGTGCACCAACAGGCTCAGGAAAGACTTTGGTTGCAGCTTACATAATTTTTGATCATTTAACAAACTCAAAAGGTAAAATTTAAACTTTTAATTTAATCCTTTATTTTGCTTTCTTACAATTTTAAAAGCTTAACCAAAATTCATAATTCACCAAAATTAATTTATTCTTAGCTCTAAAAAAGAGCAAAGTGGCATTTCTGGCAAAAACTATTCCCCTGGCAACTCAACAACATAAATTCCTAAGTGATTATCTTCCTAATTGTTACAAGGTTTGTTCTTTAAACAATCAATGAATTTTCTGCAATGTATCATATCTCAAGAAGATTATGTTAAAAAAATAATAGAAATTGATTGATGGTGTAGTTTTTAAAAAAATTGAAATCACAGGTTCAAGTTGAATTAAAAATTTCTCTTAAGTATTAAAACAACTCAAATTCCAACAGTGGAATACAAAGTAAATACTTCCATTCAAAAATTTCATTAAGCTGAGTAAGCTATATTGCAAGCTAACATGTCGATTTACAAATATGAATATTTTAGTGAATCTGTTAAAATAGGCTTTTATTGTAAATAAAAGCAACACAATAAAACTTCTAAAATTAGAAAAGACAAAAGACATAATTGTCATTTTAGAAAAGCCAATCTGTTGTAAGTTTATGTATCCTTCCTAACACCATTTTCATATCTTGCCATTCAAACATGATGCAACTCTACATGCGTTTTAATAATAGTCATACAGAGATTGTAAAATGAGGTTGAAACAATAAACATGTTATTGGTAAACAAAGTACATTCTTTTTGAAAATACTGTTTTTTTTTTAATTTCTTGAGTTTAGACAGAAATTCTTACTGGAGAGAGCAAAGATAACTTAAACCTCAAAAGTGTTCTTAATGCAAATGATATTGTTGTGATGACACCTATGATACTGCAAAATAATATCCAGTTTAAAGACTTTCAGTTAAATGAGTTTTCACTTTTGATATTTGATGAATGTCATCATACTCGAAAATTGGAATCATACAATACTCTTATGAACTGCTACATCAAACTCAAACATAATAATGGCATGCAGTCACAAATGGAAAGCCTACCCCAGGTTTGATTTTTTTTAAGTTTGCTGTTTACATAATTTTAATTATCATTCTTTATTGTCAAGTTTGATTTTGTTTTTAATTATCATTGCCTGAGTATGTTGGAGAATAGTCCATGACACATCTGCTCTTTCTAATTATGCCTTCTGTCATTGGGAATCTAATCTAAGTGTCCAGTCAGTCAACTCCAGCTTATCATTGCAAGCTTAATTAAACCAAAAATATTTTATCTAGATAAAATACATGTATTAAAATGCCAAATTTAGTTTTGAATAACTAAGGAAACAAATATTTGTAACACCTAGTAATATCAAAAGATGTTTCAAAATTTTAAAATCTTAATGTAGTCAATTACATAATTTTAGATAAAAAATTTTAGATAAAAATTCAAAGAAAAATTGTTTTGAATTCTTTTTAATTAAAAAAAAATACAATTTCAGGTTGTTGGTCTTACAGCCTCAGTGGGTGTTGAGAAAGCACATGATTTAGAACAAGCTGTTACTAGTATACTTTCACTCATGGCCAATCTTGATGTATGCAAACTCTCTGTGGTAGAAGATAACTTAGATGATCTTGAAAACTTTGTACCTAGACCTGATGATTGTTAGTATCCATTAACTTTTTTTTTAAATTTAAAAATATGTCAAATTTAAAAAATGTAAGAGATAAAAAACTATGAGCAAATAGACCATACATTTTACATTAAGGTGAACAAATTAACTGAAAATAAACTTCTTAGTAATTAAATTACTTGGACACATTCATTAACGTGTATGCTACTTGGGCTGCTGGTTCATAATTGCAAAATAAAAATTGCATTTGATATTTTATGGTGGGGGGGGGGGGGGGCAAATATTGTGGTCACATTGTTTTAATCTTTTTTATTTTACATTTTAAGAAGCTGAAAATTATACTAGATATTGATTAATATACTCTTTGTTGACCTAAACCAATAACTATTTTAGAAAGGAATCTTTGTATAAAAAAATAATTATAATACTGCAATTTTGAAGGGGATTTTAGACTGAGATGTGATGTAATTCTAAAGGGTGGGGGTCTAGCTTTTTGTGATGATGTGTGATGGTGGGAAAGGGGCGGGGGAGGAAGTAATAATTATCAAAAAGTGACATCATTAATGGATGGCCCCTTAAATGAAATGAGTGTTGCAAAAGAAATCTTTATTTTTTTTAAATAAGGTCCTCCTGTAACACTAGAAAAACTAGAAGAGGACGAATGTATTAAAAAAGTTAATTCAATAATGATGGAACTCGAGAGAAATATTGACAAGCATGCTCAAGGTATGTTTTAAAAAGTAAATGATTAAGTATTTGTTGCTTTAAAAAAATACATAAACAAATGTTTATCATTATTTTAAGGGTTAAGCTTTTCATTTTAAGCGCTCTTACTGCCTCTATTTCAGTATTTTTTATTTACGTGAGATTTTCTAATATTATTTTTACCTGTTAGAATGTTTAATTCTAGCATGATGCTTTATTTGATTGAAATATAATTTTGGTTGAATGAAGGTTAGGGAAGTATATTGCTATTAAAACGAAGAAAAAGTCTAATTGAAATTAAATTATAATCCTTCATTTTTTTTTTTAAACTTTTAAAAAAAATATTTCTTAGCATAAAATAAAAAATAGGATTAAATTTTAATTTTTTTTTTCAGAACTAAACAATCAGAAGGTATTAGATGTGTTAAAAACAAAGCCGTCAGACAGAAAAATCCAAAGTTATGAACAATGGGTTGTTAATTTGAGCAATGCTGCAAAAACACACCCTATCGATGATCCAGAGCGTGAGACTAACATGAATGTCCGAACACTGATAATCATTTCCGAATATTTAAAGGCAAAATTACTTTATAAATATATATATATTTATTAATGCTACAAATTCGTTAATTAGTCATCATGCCTGAAGGCAAGTAAATTTTGTTGTAAATTCAAATGACATAATTGAGTTATTCTTATATTAACTAACATTGTGCATTTAAAAGGAAACTTTTTTTCTTAAAGAATGCATTTTAAAATTGAACTAAATGTAGCTTCTGTTCTAAATAACTTGGTTTGCTTATTAAAACCTTTATGTTATCAAATTTATTCATACATTTTTTTTTATTTTTAGGTTTACAACTTTGCATTACAGACCAATGATTTGGTTGAGCTTACAGATATTATGCCATATTTGAAAAATAGTTTTGATAAATTCAACTTCAAAAATAAAACCCAAGATGAAGCTAAACTTTATGGATATTTTGAAGGTAGAGTTTAAATAGTGTTTGGCTCATTTCTGGTCTAACATGAAATAATTAATTTTTAGGATCATTTTAGGACAATGATCATACACATATACATTTATTAGGTAGCCTTACAATTTGAAGGTCATTCAATTTTACATTTTTATTCCAGATTTAGTCACCCTTGTAGATAGTGGGCATGGAGAAGAAAACCCAAACCTTTTAACCTTATCCAACACTTTAGAAGAAATGCTAATTGGCACAGGAAAAAATTCACGTGGAATAATTTTTGTTAGGACACGAGCCCTTGCAGAAGCTCTTGTGTCTTGGCTGAACAGAGGCAACAAAAGTTTTCTAAACGCTTCAGTTTTAACTGGAACAAATGCAAGTGAAGCTGAGGGAGGTAAAAGCTAAAATTATAAATAGGTGTCTCTGTGTATGCATATACATATATATATATATATATATATATATATATATATATATATATATATATATATATATATATATAATTATATATATATATGTATGCATATGTATATAATTATTTTTATATATATATATATATATATATATATATATATATATATATATATATATATATATATATGTATATATGTATATATGTATATATGTATGTATATTTATATATGTTTGTATATATTTATATATATATATATATATATATATATATATATATATATATATATATATATGTATATATATAATATTTATAAAAGTATATATATATATATATATATATATATATATATATATATATATATATATATATATATATATATATATATATATATATATATATATATATATATATATATATATATATATATATATATATATATATATATAAATATTTATATATATATATATAATTTAGACAAGCTCATTATATTAAAATACATAAGCATATATACAAATATATGTATGTGTTTAGGAATGTCACCACAGACACAAAAACAAGTTCTTGACGACTTTAAGGAAGGATTGATTAGACTTATTGTTGCTACTTCTGTTGCTGAGGAGGGTCTTGATATTCCACTCTGCAATTTAGTGATCCGGTACAATCATATTGGCAATGAAGTTACTACAATGCAAACACGAGGTAAATTATAATAACATATTTAATAAAAATATTCAAAATATATATACTGTGAATTTTGATATTTTAGTTGTTACAGCCACAATATACTTATATATATATATATATATATATATATATATATATATATATATATATATATATATATATATATATATATATATATACAATTTAATGAATAGCAGTTTTATATTCTAAAAATGCTGTTTTATTTTCAGGAAGATGTAGGAAAGAAGGGGGAAAATCTGTTCTCTTAGCTATGGAAGATGTTATAAACAGAGAAAAAAGTAACATAGAAAGAACCAAGTTAATGGCAGAAGCGATAAATAAAATAAATCAAATCGAATTATCAGAAATTAAGGCGCAAATTTCATATTATCAGTCTGAGATTATAAAGAATGCTGAAATTGCTGAAAAAAATAAAGACAAAAAAGACCACAAAGAAGTTTGTTTCAAAATGGTAAGAAAACCTTTGTTAAATATATTTACCAATTCAAATCAAAAAGTGATTTTGAAATGTTACTGTTTCTCCAATGGTTTTTACAGGTTTGTTTCCTTTGTCGACAAACTTCAATAGATTGCTCTAAAGTGCGGACAATTTATAAAAAGCATAGAATCTCTATTGACAGGTATAAATAGTAACCTTTTTTTTTCCTTATATACTTTTGCATTTCTTAAATAGGTAAATAAAGTTAAGATATCCTGTTCTAGTATTTTATGAACATAAATTATGTGTATATATATTTTTGTATCTTACTTTACGTATAAAATAGCTAGAAATCTAAAATAAAATATTAAATACTTACAAACTTAGAAGATTAAAGTAATTTTAAAAAGTATTTTAAAAATGTTTTAGTGATCTACTAAAATATGGTAAAGTTATGAGAAAGCCTAGAAAGCCATACACAATAGATGAAGTCGACTTTTTAGGACCAGTTCTATGTCAGGGCAAAGTCGAAGGAAAAGGAATATGTGGAAACTCATTGGGCTCTTTGATCAAGTATAAAAATGTCCAATATTTTGCAATGGGCATAAAAGCCTTTGGATTTTTTATTGGCACAAATACAGATCTACAAAAGTTTAAGCAGTGGGATGGGGTAGATTATGTTATTGAAGAACTTACCCCATCTGACACAAAAAGGTAAGTCTGACTATTAATATCAATATATCTGCATTTAATCTTTAAAATGTAATTGGTATTGTTACAATGTTAGAGCACTTTATAAAATGCTCATTGTTTGGGGTGGAATTAAATAAAAATGATTTTTTGTTTAAAAAATTCCTTGATTTAAGTAAAGAATACAAATTTAAATGTAGGTCTACAGCAGAAACAATATTTAATGCTTAAGCTCCTATGTCATTAGTGGGGTTAATTTGCAGCAATAACCCTTAATTGTTGTGGACTGTTTTATTCTGGTTTATTTTTTTAAGTAAATATTTCATCCTTATACTTAAGCCAATTAATTTTCTATTTCAGCTATCTTGAAAAATTAAAGAATGAAGATGGTTTAGACCAGTGGCCAGCAACAAGTAGCGCTAGAGCTGCATATGGCTTGTAAAATGGTTAAATGTTTTTATTCTCATTTTTAATTTTATACTAAACTTCAATGACAATCAACATAAAAGAAAATATGTTTTAAAAAATATATTGGACAAAGAAACATATACTTCCAGTATCATGTGCATTTTCTCTACTAGCTGGTTAGGCAGTTTTGAGCCAGTCATTTGCTACTCAATGACAAAGAAATTTGTATTAAAATATCAATCATTATCTACAACACTTCAAATATTATTGGAGGAAAAACAACATGCCAAATATGAGCAAGTACTGTATTGTACATCACTTTTTGCTTTGTCCTGCTATAATCAAATACTTAGATTATTCTTAGATGAAGTATAAATTGAAGAACTGATGGTCTACACAATATTTAGAGTAAGAAACTATTCTATTTACTTCTGCTAAAACCCTAACAATAAAATAATTTAAATCAGGAAAAATGTTGATACCAGTTTTAAATTACTTTGTATAAGGTCACACCAACATGTTCACTGGAAAGAAAACAGTAATGAACAGCAGACTTAACAATGATGTGAATTGTTTGATGATTTTTCATTCCACATCACTGTGCATCAAATTTTCACATACAGTTTCTGCATAAACACTAAAAAAATAAAGATACCAAGTTTATGAATCTCATTTGCAAAAAACAAGGTATTAAAATAAAATTAAAAAAAAAAACATCCTTGAAAGATATCTGTGATCACTTAAAGAATTTATCTTTAAATATTGTATATATTTGTTAATATTTACTTTTTTATCAACATTTCAGCTTTATGCCAAAATTCTGTAATTACATACTATTTTTAATAGAATTGTTTTTTCCATTATGTTTTGAATAATGTTTTTATAATGTTGGCTTACATTTTTCAAATTGTTTATTCTAAGAACAGATCAATAATACATGTTTACAATAATTGTTAAAACTTTGAAGGATTGACCATGTTTAGTATGTTGTCACCAAGTTACATAAAGTAAATTCAAGTAAAAAAATAACTTTAAAAACCATCTTGTAATCCATATTCAGACAAAACAATTTAATATTGAGCTGTTTTCAGAAATGTAACTTTGCAAAATGTTATATAATAATTCCTTTTCAGTAGAAATAAGTAACTTTCATTGACAAACTTACATATTATTAATAATGTAGTTTTTATTTTGTTTTTTTATTTGCTACATATAGTATAGTTTTTAATATTCTTTTTTATTTTTTGTATTATGTCAGTATTATTACATTTTTTCTCAGATGAATGTAGAAAAAAATGGTCTTTTGAAAAAAAAAGCAGGTTGAGTTCAGACTTATCTAAAGTAAAGATTTTGAAATAATCCCATGTGTAGGCACAATCATTTGCTAACAAATTAATTAGATTACTTGCAGTTTAAGTTTCAGGGTAGATTTCAATGTTAGATAATAGATAATCATATTTTTCTTTTGTTTATTTAAAGAGTTTTTATTAGTTTGACTTGTGAAAATTCAATTTTTAAACCTTGTGAACAGTAAAATATATGAACTTCATTTCTCCAACTCTGCAAACGTTGATTTTAAAAAAAATGAAAAAAAAAATTACAACTAAAAATGAAATATTTATAAAGTAATGCTAATGCCAAAGAATCAATGTTTTTGTTGGTGTATGCTCTCAATGTATGTAATATATAATTGACATACCTTAAAATGAATCATATTTTTTAAAATATATTTCAAATTGCAAATATTAAAATGCCAAATTTAATTTTGAATAACTAAGGAAACAAATATTTTTAACACCTAGTAATATAACAACATGTTTCAAATTTTAAAAATCTTAATGTAGTCAACTAAATAACTGCAGATTCTTCCTAATAAAAATTCAAAGAAAAAATGTTTTGAATTCTTTTTAACCACAGACTATTCCCAGAAGAACAGAGTCTGAATTATTTTTAAACTGGTGAACATTGTATGCTTATCAGAAAACGTAAACTATAAAACAGTTGTTATTTTGTGGGCCCAGCTCCTCTGCAACCAGTTAGACATTGAACGTTTGTCGCATTCGGGCAAGTATACATTCGGGCATTAGTCGCATTCGGGCAAGTGTCCATTCGGGCAATTGTCGCATTCGGGCAAGTGTCCATTCAAACATTTGTTGCATTCGGGCAAGTGTAAATTCGGGTAAACGGTTTTCGAAAAAGTGTCTTTCGGCTCCCGTAGTAAACAAAGTAAAACTTTAAAAGATTGGATTATTATCACTTTATAAATATATGTTTATTTTAGGAATGGTGTGGTAGGATGGTAAAGGTCATTGAAACAGATGAACTCTACTTCATCATAATATCATGGTTTCTAGGGTGAGAACGACAATGATTATGATGATGTATTGCGTAAAAAAACACTCATTACATTTCCCATGTTCTTTAATTTTTTAATCAATTTCTTTCTAAAAATCTCTTCAGGAGGGCAATACTCCCCTTCCTGGATGGAATTAGAAAAAAATGTTATATCGGAGATAATATATACTTAAATGCTATGCTCCGGAAATTTAAGACAACATGATCTAGAATTGTTAATGAACGATGCGTTCGTTCATTAGTGCACTTTGTGTGTTTCTTGAGGCACACGGGCGATTTACTGTTAAATAGAGCTAATTGCAAAATAATTTTAACAGCTACTACTATGTAAAAACATATTGAGTTTTTTTTGCTACTGTTTTTTTTAAATATTTATCATAGAAATCAGGTGAGTCACCGTAGGTTTCGGATGAGTTTCTTACCAAAGTGCGTATTTCACTCTCAACCGGACAATTATTTATTATAGACATCTCAATGATAGTGCATTTAAAAAAGAACGAAAACTGAACTCGATTGATCACCACCTTACATAATAGGTCTATAAGTCCCAACAATTATATATATATATATATATATATATATATATATATATATATATATATATATATATATATATATATGTATATATATATACTAGCTGCATCCCGTGCTCCGCCACGGTAAATCTTTTTTAAATGTACCAACTTGGGAACAGAACAAAACTAAACACAACACAAACGAACGCAAAAAAAACACAAACGAAAAAACAAACACAACACTTATAACATAAACACAATTTAGCCCGTGGCGCCAAATCGCGCCCTTTCCGGTGATTTGCACCCCCATCAAACTTTCGATTTGCACCCCTGTCCCCCCCCCCCCGCCCTAAAACTTTCGATTTCCACCACCCCCCCCCCCCCTCGCAAATTTTTTCCAACCCACTTTGGCGCCCCCTTAGGTCGGCACCCGGGGACATATGCCCCCAAACTCCTCGCCACGCCTCTCCTATAAAACCCCTAGCTTTTCCGCAAACCGAAAGATAGAATAATAATTAGTAAACAGTATAAATAATAGGCAGTATTTAAAATATCCCTGTTTTACCTACAATATTTCACTTTATCCATTCACGCATTTTTTTTTCCAGTACTTTAAATTTTAAAAACTTACAATAGAGTTTCATAACTAAAACCATTGCGCACCTAATGAACGTAATGACGCGTCTATAATAATGCTGAATAGTTTATTCAAAATTATAAGTAATTATAAGTAATAAACAGTAGGGCCTACATTCAGTGAATAAAATAAATAAAAGATTGCCTTTTATCAATCCATGCTAATTATAATTTTCTAACAATAATTTACTCTTACACATCCGGATAATTTGCATTCACATTTTGCTAATTACAACACTAATTCCTTCTATGACGACCGTATATTTGCATTCACATTTTTTATTAGCGTGAGTTTAATTTATTTTTAAATTACCTCTTTTGTCAAAATTAGAAAAAAGAGTTATATTAATTTGATTTTTCTACCGTACTGTTATTATGTTATTGAAATGTATCCATTTTTTTCTGGGAATATAAACGAAAATGATATTTGACATTGATACTTTTAATATGTTTTAGCCGTGTGTGTATATTTAATATTTTCTTTAAGTTATGCAAAAGAGTAAACACAGTGGAAATTATAAAATAGCTCTATGTCGTTATATAAACAAACCCTACTCTAACACTTATAATAAGACACTGCGATGCACTGCAAAGCACTACATGGTGCGATGTTTACTTTTATGCTTTCAAAATCTATAGCGATGACGGAAGGAAGGAAGGAAGGACTGACACACTACTTGCCCGCTTATATTATATATATATATATATATATATATATATATATATATATATATATATATATAAATATATATATATATATATATATATATATATATATATATATATATATTTATATATATATATATATATATATATATATATATATATATATATATATATATATATATATTATATAGATCTGACACAATGGAGTAGGAGATGGGTAGACCGGGATCATAACATTCATTAGTCCCGTCCATATAATCACCCCCCCCCCCCGTTCCGGTCGTTTCCCGAGCGTCATTACCCCCATATTAATTACCCGGTCCTCCAGGTTGGAGGGTTGAGCATAAGGTTATCAACCTTAAATCGTAAAAAAAAAACAAATCGCTACAGAAACGCAGACAAAGAGAAATACAGACAGCTCGGACCAGGGGAAGAATGGATCACCCGATGCAGAATTTATGAAGCCCGGTGGTGAAAGCCGATATGTATTGGAAACTACCAGGTCGACCACCATTATTTCCACCAGGTCCACCATCAATATTGGAACTTGGAATGTCCGCACAATGTATGAAGCTGGAAAAGCAACCCAAGTAGCAAATGAGACGCTATAAAATAGCTATCCTGGATATCAGCGAGTCAAGGTAGACTGGCTCAGGACAAAAAAACAACAACTAATAACAGGAGAGCTACTGCTGTTCTCAGGCCACGAGGATGAAAATGCTGCCGTTTCGAGATAAACAGGCGGACATTTGGAAGGAAAGGTCATGCGTAGACCAAATTGCTACCCTGCGCATCATTATTTAACAGACCCAAGAGTGGAACTCATCTCTCTATATTAATTTCATAGATTATGTGAAGGTCTTTGATAGCCTGGATAGACAGTCAATATGGAAATTGTTGAGACACTACGGGTGCCACAGAAAATAGTCAACATTATTATGTATTTATATGAAGGTCTGAAATATAGAGTAGTGCATGATCAACAGACTTCGGAGGCCTTCCCAGTACACACAGGAGTAAGGCAGGGTTGCCTACTTTCACCATTCCTATTCCTGCTGGCCATAGACAGGGTTATGAAGATGTCAACAAAGAAAAAGTGAAACGGTATACAGTGGACACTGTGAGCCAACTGGATGACCTGGACTTTGCTGACGACCTGGCCCTTCTTTCTCACACACAACAGCAAATGCAGGATACAACCAACAGGGTTGCAAATTTTTCTACAAGCCTGGGTCTGAACATCCACAGAGGGAAAAGTAAAGTTCTCAAAGTCAATGCATCAATCAGCACCCATATAAAATTGGCAGAAGAAGCCCTAGAAGAAGTTTATATTCACCTACCTTGGAAGTATTGTTGATAAGCAGTGGGACAGAAGCAGACATAAAAATAAGGACGGACAAGGCAAGAGCAGTTTTCAAGCAACTAAAACATGTTTGGGGTTCTGGAGACTTAACCCTTGGAATCAGAGTTTCTTCCAGGCATCTCTTCGGGGGGTGGGCTCTGTCTACCGTCCCCGCCCCCCGAACGAGATGGATTTTATATAGTAAACATACACTTTTACTAGTGTCCGCCCCCCCCCCCCCCGAAAAATGTTGACCGCCCCCCCCCCCCCCGAAAATATCAAGTGCCCCCCCCCCCTGGAGAAAAAAGTCTGGAAGAAACACTGCTTGGAATAAAATTCCGGATCTTCAACACACTAGTTAAACCTGTTTTATCTCTATGGAGCTGAGACATGGAGAATAACTGCTATAAATAATAAAGAAAATACAATCATTTATAAACTCGTGCCTCAGAAAGATCAACTGCCAGCTGAAGTAAGGATCCTCCAGAGAAAATCGAAATGGATTGGCCACACACTCAGGAAGCCTGTATCCAGCATAACAAGACAGGCCCTCACATGGAATCCACAGGACAGGAGGAGGAGAGGCAGACAAAAATAGACCTGGAGGCGTGACCTGGAAGAAGACACCAAGAAGATTGGACACACCTGGGGACAGTTGGAGAGACTAGCCCAGGAAAGGTCTTGTCAGCCAGATGCATAGCGAGCCCTCCCGGCGGCCGGGGCGAATTTTCAGTTCCACTATTCATAATTTACAAGAACCTCTATTTTCAGTTGTCTAGCTCTGTCTAAATTGTCAAACGACCTTCCGTGGTTAATTAATTAGAACTCGGCTCCCAGTATATAAAAACATGAGCTCTCCAATCGTTACACGTATCCACCCGGCGATCTATTTTTAATTACAGAAGATCATATTTCGATAAACTCGTCTCTATCAGATCCTGGCAAACTTTTTCAGGAACAATAACTCCGGATTTCACCTTCTTCTCACGCATACACCGCTCAAGAACAATAACTCCGGACTGACGAATATATTTTTTTAAAACACACTACATCCGATAGGGGTTAGCGTATTTAGTTTTTCTTAGTTACAATTTTATGAATGGTTAAAATAATTATTCCCTCCTTTAATTAAATATAATTGTTTTTCAATTTAGTTCGGGGAGGAGGGGGGAGACGGGGAAGAGAAGCCTTAAAAAAATCTCAGGTTTGTATGACTTAGAGCCCGCCCAACGAAGCAGCTATGCATAGGGCTGTCAACACTATTCCCTCATACATGCAGATGTCGTTGAAACAGACTCCACTTAATCTGCCCCATGCGTTTTGAGCGCGAATGGGAGAAGGGACAAGATTAGAATGTTGAACCCAGCAAATTTAAACACATTTCTTTCTTCGGAATCTATTCAATAGGGCACTGCCCCCCCCCCCCCCCCCTAAAGAACGCCCCCCCCCCCTCTCCCCCATGAGATAGAAACAAATATTTATACATTAAATATATACTTTAACCAGTGCTCGCACCATCGTGAAGTGCTAATAATTTAAACTTGCTTCATGGTTAAGTAAACAACGATCTAGCATCATTATTGAACGAAGTGTTTATTAATGCGCTTGGTGCATGTTCTAATTTAAGTCATACGGGTCATTTACTTTTAACAGCTACTACTGTTTACAAACAGAGTCGGTTATTTCCGACTGTTTGTTAAATGTTAATCGCAGAGATCAGGTAGGGTTTCTTGCAGGTAAGCTAAGTCACCGTACGTTTAAGATCGTTGCTTCTTACCAAAGTGCAGAGTTCACTATGAATCAAACGAGGCAGTTACAGATCTAGATACAAAAGTTTAAAAGACCGCAATCTGACAACAGCCTTATGAGGAGGATTTTTAAAGGGGAGGGAGTAAGGTTGCTTCGCCAAACAATTACAATTTTGTGGCCTATACAGAAAACGATGTCATGTACACAATGGGTTAGGAGGTGGGTAAACCGGTAGCATATCATTAATCTCCTTCAGACAATTAGGCAGACTCCCCCAGTGTCATTACCCCCCCCCATATTAATTACTTCCTGTCAATTACCAACTCCCTTGATAAACTACCCTGGCCCAAAAACTTCAGTAGGACAAGACCCCATGTCGATAACCCATCGTAAGAGATAGGATAGGGGATAAAGGTAATAATAATATGTTAAAAAGTTAAAAAAGAATAGGGATACGGTGATGGTTAAGGATAAGGAAATTATTTTGGTTACAAATGGGGTTACGAAAAAGGAGATAGATATGGTGAAAGTGGGGATATACAGCCCGTAATAATGTAGTGAATTTGTTAGAAATCAGTCAATTGTGCTTAGTAGTGCAAGAAGAAAAATTCATATCTTAATAAATAGTTGTTATTATAACATGAAAATTGGAAGAACTATTAGGCCAAGCTTGATCTTTAATTAGAATATCTTAGTGTTAGTTAGGAGCAAGCCGATATTATTGAAATCTACTTTAATTAGGTGTATTTGATTATATTTTTATAATAATTGCATGTTTGAAGTATTATTGTTTAAGAACAACTTATTGATGTTTATTGTAATTTGTATCATTGTAAAGGGAATTGTCTGTGGTTTCAGAGATAAGCTTATTAGAATTTTAGGAGATCGCGTTAAGTTTTTATATAGGGTTATTTGGGGTCGGTTAGCACAAAAGCGGGAGACATTTTCACAGGTAAGCGTTAGAATTCGTGCCAAGAGCAAGGTGTCATCCGAGACACTCGCGGGTGGGGTATATAAGCCGGTGCGTTAGCCTTAGAGGGGATGGAGAAACGACGGCCCTAGCCAGTAATTTATGCAGCACACGTATTGGCACTATAGTCTTGTTAGATGCGCGCTACACAGACAATTCCCGCTCAAGAAAGATAGTCAAATAAAGATTTGCAGAAGACGGCTTATTCTTCATTCTTGATCGTCTGTGACTGTGACTGAGAGTGAGAAATAGAAGAGAAGAAGAACGTTACAATTGATAGAAGCAAGAATATTACAATAGAACAGCACATTTTGAGAGCAGTAAAAACGTTACATTTGGTGACAGCGAAAGAAACTATCTTTAACACGCAACCAGAGAGACTGACAGCAGGCCAGTTAATACAGAGGACAAAAATGGCAGAGATTGAACTACAGGCTCAAATAAGAAACCTGCAAGAAACGATTAAAGAACTCAGAATCGCTAGACAAGATGAGCGACCATTAAGTATGAACCAGGCGTTACCACAATACGACTGGTCAGCGCCATTCCAAGTGTTTTGGAACAAGTTCCAAGCAATATCTCGCATTAACAGCTGGGATGAAGATAGACAGCTACTGCATCTACCAGCTTGTTTGGAGGGGAGTGCGGCCAACTTTGCATTTCTTGAACTCACTCAAGTTGACCGAGCAACACTTGGAACGTTTGTCGCAGCCCTGAGCGCTAGATTTGACACCAGGGTGGGCACCGCTACACATCTGACCCAGTTAGAAAATAGAAAGATGTCAGCAAGGGAGACAACCGCTGAATATACGTCCGATGTGAAACGACTGACGGCCATGGCTTTCCCGTCAGCTGACCAAGCAACTAAATCAACAGTTGCACTGCGCTATTTTCTCAAGGGGTTACAAGATCCTCACCTCGCAGGTATCATTGCCGCCCAGCACAGATGAGGCCAGAAACATTCTGGACGAATACCTCAGTGCTAGAGACTGCACAACAAAAACGAAAATGTGTTCGGTGCAGGAGCAGAGCCAGATAGATAGCCTACAGCAGGAGGTGAAGAGACTACAAGAGATGGTCAGAAGTAATCAACGCAGCCCCGATGACTCGGGATGCTACACTTGTGGGGGCAGACATTTGGCTAGGAATTGCCCTAGAAGTCATCGAAATCAAGAGATTAACCAACGAATGTCGAGTAATGGCAATACATACAGTTATCAAACCCGGCCAACCCAATCTACGGCCAGAATAAATGAAATCCGACAGAATGATACAGATAACAATGATGAAAATCTTTTAGGCCTTAACTTTCTGAAAGTAAAAGCCGCGGCAAGCAACAAGCAAATGGACGTGCCAACAGAGATTTCAATCCGTAGTGTTGCCCCTGGGTATTAAGTAGTGGTGACTGTAACGGTAGCAAGACACAATATGATGTTTCTGGTAGACACGGGCACTGCTGTCACTGTCATGTCCACAAGAGCCTTCAACAAGTTACCACAAGCCATTAGAAACAAACTTCAACCCATGGACAAGAAGGTCACACTGCAATCTGCAGGGGGTGACAGAATAAACTGTCTAGGCACATGTACAGTAGATATGAGAGCAGGATGTGTTGTCACCAAGTGGAGAACTGTCATTGCTGACATTGAGGAAGAGGGTTTCCTAGGGATGGACTTCTTGATGCGACATGACTTTCAATTTTCGGCTAAGAATGGCTTATTCCTAAATGGCAGAAGGGTTCCAACACAGACCAGAGGCACGGAGAAGGTGTATAAAGTGGCAACCAGAACTATAGTTCCTGCAATGGGATATGCCCTGATCCAAGGCCGAGTTGGTGCAAAAGAAATAGAAACAACAAGTTATGATATGGCACTCATCGAAGAAGCTCCACACGTCAGCGAGGTTTATGGACTTCAGCTGCCAGACACTTGTGTTAGGGTTGAGTCAAATATGTCAACCCCGTTCCTCATCATGAATCCTACAAGCCTGGATGTGACGGTGAACAAGGGTGCACACATCGCTAACATCCAGTTTGATGCTGAACTGATCCCATGTTCCCAATCGAAACCCTCATACAACACATATCCCCAGAGCAATAAACCATCAGCGAATCAAAGCCAGGCTTGTTCGGCGACACCCAGATTACAAGCAGAGCGACCGCCTAGAATCTCCAACGAACTCCAAGTCAAACTCCAGGACTTGCTTCGCAGAACAGTGACAACTGCAAACCTAAACGACGACCAGGCTGAAAGATTGAGGAAGTTGTTGTACCGGCATCATCAAGTTTTTTCTGCAACAAACACATACTTAGGGCGCACACGTATCTTAAAGCATGAAATAGACACTGGAGACCATCCACCAATAAAAATTCAAACAAGAAGAGTGCCCAAAGCTTTCCAGCCGTACGAAGACCAACTTATCCAGCACTGTTAGATGCCGATGTCATTAGACCATCAAACAGCCCGTGGAATTTGCCCGCAGTGTTCTGCAGAAAAAAATCAGGTGAATGGCGAATCTGTTTCGACGCCAGAGCTATAAACAAAATATCCAAAAAGGACGCTTTCCCCTTACCACGCATTGATGAGTGTCTCGACCAACTGGCAGGTACTAAGTTCTACAGCACACTGGACTTGAACCAGGCATATTTCCAAGTTGAACTGGATGAATTTTCAAAAGAAAAAGCATCATTTTCCACTCCCAGTGGACATTGGTCCTACCAAGTTCTACCAATGGGACTGGCAAACAGTGTGGCTACTTTTTGTCGACTGATAACAGAGGTGTTCAAAGGAATTCTGTTCAAAAAGGTCATCGCTTATTTAGATGACATTCTGGTACCTGGGACTTCGTTCGAGCAAAGCATCGACAACCTCAACGAAGTGTTCTCTAGATTGTTTTCCGCTGGATTAAAGCTGAAACCAGAAAAATGTGAACTGCTGCAAAAAGAGGTTAACTTTCTAGGTTTCACCCTGACAGAAAATGGTATCAAAACAAACAAAGACAAGGTTGAATGTATTGTCAACTGGAATCTTCCTCAATGTGTGACAGATGTTAGAGCTTTTCTGGGCATCACCGGATTTTACCGGAAGTGGATTCGAAATTATTCATCAATAGCGGCACCGTTAAACCGACTCTTGGAGAAAAACAGTAACTTTGAATGGACACCCGACTGTCAAGATGCTTTTGAAACATTAAAGCAAAAGTTAACTTCAGACGAGATATTGGCGTTTCCCAGGGACGAGGGCATGTTTATTCTGGACACCGATGCAAGCGGAACAGGTGTCGGGGCTGTATTAAGTCAACTACAATGGGATGAGAACTTACAGCAGGAAATCGAACGACCTATTGCATATGCAAGCCAGTCCCTCAGTAAGGCTGAACGCAAGTATTGTGTGACTAGACGGGAACTGTTGGCAGCAGTCGCCTTTACAACTCACTTCAAGCACTTTTTACTTGGTCAAAAGTTTTTACTAAGGACAGACCATTCTTCTCTACGATGGCTCTTTTCATTTAAAGATCCTAATGACCAACTTGCTAGATGGTTGGAGATACTGAGCCAGTACAACTTTGACATTGAACATCGAAAAGGGAAAAACCATGCCAACGCCGACGCCCTGTCCAGATCTCAACCAACAGCCTGTTCACAATACGACAAAGACAAACAATTAAAAGATCTGCCATGTGGGGGTTGTACCTTCTGCACACGTCACCATCGACAGTGGTCCAGTTTCTACAAATTAGATGACGTAGTTCCACTAAACTCACACATGACACATAGCGTCACGCCGGTTGCAGCTATCTTGAAAACTTCTAGCACCGATCAGCCACAGACTCAGTTCTCTTGGCGAGAGGGTCTACAGTTCTCCCAGCAGGAAATTCAGAAGGCTCAAAAGGATGATAATGTTTTGAAGAAGTGTATTACCTGGGTGCAGAACGAACAGAGACCTGAACAGAGGGAGTTAACCGCAGAAGGCCGGGAACTCCGCTATTACTGGCTGAATTTTAACAGACTGACACTTGCAGATGGCATATTATGCTGGAAGTGGGTGACAAAAGAACGGAAGACAGAACTAAAGGTGATAGTGCCACATATCCTAATGTCCAAGGTTCTAGAAAAGTGTTACGATGACAAGGGTTCTGGACATTTCGGCATTCAAAACACCTTATCAAGGGTACAACAACAGTTTTTTTGGTTCAGAATGAAACATGAAGTTACAAACTGGGTGAACTGCTGTGAAAGATGCCAGATTAGAAAACCGCCAACTAAGAAGCCTAAAGCACCCCTGCTACCATTCTATTCTAACACTCCTATGGAAGAAATTTGTATGGACATTGCAGGACCATTCCCTGTCTCAAATCGGGGGAATAGGTACATCTTGGTGGTTATATGCAAATTTACGAGATTCGCTGAGTGCTATGCCATACCGGACACAAGTGCCTCTACTGTAGCAGATAAAGTGGTCAATGAATTTATGGCTCGATATGGTATCCCATGGAACATCTTAACAGACCAGGGAACTAATTTTGAATCAACACTTTTGCATGAAGTATGTCGCCTGTTGGAGATAAAGAAAAAAAAGACAAGCAGCTACAGACCTCAAACAAATGGTCTAGTCGAAAACATGAACAAAACAATTACACGGATGATAGCTGCGTACATTAACAGCAATCAAACAACATGGTGCTCCCATTTACCATGGATTATGGCAGCCTACAGATCACACAGGCACCCAAGCACCGGCTACTCTCCCAATTACTTAATGTTTGGCAGAGAGTGCAACACGCCTGCACATCTGGCATTCGGAACACCATCTCCTATACAGGAGGAAGGCACGCCATCCGAATACGTCCATCAACTAGACCGTCAACTCAAACAGGCATACGAGCATGCACGCCAACAACTCAAGTCGACTGGTGAGAGAAACAAAAGAGACTACGATCTCAACATCATCTACAATAACTACAATGTTGGAGATGTAGTGTTGTGTCTGGAGGAGGCGAGGAAAGTAGGCGTGAGTAGGAAGCTTGCTCCCAGACACTGGAAAGGTCCATACGTCATAAGAAGAAAACTAAGTGACCTTCTCTTTGAGATAGAGAACAAGGACAAAAAGACAAAAGTCGTGCACCATGACAAATTAAAACCATTTCACCAAAGGGAACTAACGAAATGGATCGTTGACTTACAACTCAAACTTCATCACGATGGTGGTTCACCTCAACTGTCGGATTATTCAACGGACGATGAGACAGGCGACGAAGGTCAAGACACAGAGAGTCAGCTGTCGGAGAGAGGAAATGATCACGGGGCTGATGAAACAAGCCCAAAACTAACTGTTACTACACACAACGACGCAAGGGGAAATACAAGACCCCGACGAGAAATCAAACGACCTCGTCGACTGTTGGATTAACAAAAATAGAGCCTGTTAAATTGGTAAGTATAGACTGTGTTCTGGATTATTTAGATACCGTGTGAATTCTTAAAATAGTGTTCTGGATTATTAGGATACCACGTGAATTCTTAAAATAGTGTTCTAAATTACTTAAATATCGTGTGAATTCTTAAATAATGATCTGGATTATTAAGATACCTTGTGAATTTTTGAAATCGGGTGTTTTTCATTTACATTCCTGGATGTGAATGTATTCCAACGAAATGTAAGTAGATACAGTTTAGCTTTGTGCTAGGACCAATATAGAAGCTTTAGAACCATTACAATTATGCTCATGGTTCGGTCTGTGAACATACCACAGGAACATTGAAATTATAAGATGTACAGATCTAACCAGAAGGAACGTAGACATTACAAATGCAAAACAAGACTGTATAATAACTTCATGTTAATCGATATTACAATGGAGCCAGTTTCTGGTTGTTGTTTTTTTAATTTGATCATTATGTTGCATTTTGATAATTATAATGGATGTTTATGATGTATCACATTTATGAAGATGTGATTTAAGATGTTGAATATACAAAACCTTTAATAAATTAAATCAATTTTGAGGACAAAATTCTTAACTTTGGTAGGGTCAAATGTAGTGAATTTGTTAGAAATCAGTCAATTGTGCTTAGTAGGGCAAGAAGAAAAATTCATGTCTTAATAAATAGTTGTTATTATAACATGAAAATTGGAAGAACTATTAGGCCAAGCTTGATCTTTAATTAGAATATCTTAGTGTTAGTTAGGAGCAAGCCGATATTATTGAAATCTACTTTAATTAGGTGTATTTGATTATATTTTTATAATAATTGCATGTTTGAAGTATTATTGTTTAAGAACAACTTATTGATGTTTATTGTAATTTGTATCATTATAAAGGGAATTGTCTGTGGTTTCAGAGATAAGCTTATTAGAATTTTAGGAGATCGCGTTAAGTTTTTATATAGGGTTATTTGGGGTCGGTTAGCACAAAAGCGGGAGACATTTTCACAGGTAAGCGTTAGAATTCGTGCCAAGAGCAAGGTGTCATCCGAGACGCTCGCGGGTGGGGTATATAAGCCGGTGCGTTAGCCTTAGAGGGGATGGAGAAACGACGGCCCTAGCCAGTAATTTATGCAGCACACGTATTGGCGCTATAGTCTTGTTAGATGCGCGCTACACAGACAATTCCCGCTCAAGAAAGATAGTCAAATAAAGATTTGCAGAAGACGGCTTATTCTTCATTCTTGATCGTCTGTGACTGTGACTGAGAGTGGGAAATAGAAGAGAAGAAGAACGTTACAATTGATAGAAGCAAGAATATTACAATAGAACAGCATATTTTGAGAGCAGTAAAAAAGTTACAATATGTACTCTAATGTGGGTTACATGACAGTGGGTAATTGGGTTAGGGCTAATGACTGGTGTGTGTGGCAGTGTTTCTTAAATACTGTTTTCTCCGGGGGGCGAGGGGGGGGGGCACTTGATATTTCCGGGAGTGGGGGGGTTGGGGCGGACACTGGTAAAATTATTTGTTTTCTATATAAATTCCATTTATGCTCGGGGGGGGGGGGGGGAAGCGGTCGACTTTCTCCGGTGGGGGGGGGGGGCAGAGGCGTAGCGAAGGGGGGCGGGGTATGGACCGCACCGGGTGACACCATTTAGGGGGGTGAAACCAAGGCAAAAAATAGAAAAATATATAGAGAATTGCAAATTGAAAGTTTGAGGGGGGGGGGGGGGCGGGGTGCAAATCGAAAATCTGGGGGGGAGGGGTGACACATTAAGTGCCGCACCGGGTGACACCCGACCTCGCTACGCCACCGGGGGGGGATGGGGCTCTGAAGAGATGCCTTAAAGAAACTCTGGTGTGTGTGTGTGGGGGGGGGGGGGGGGGGGTAATGTCCTAGACCCAGGTAAAACATGTCACATTGTAGTTCTTTTTGGCTGGAGATTTCGCTGATAGCATCTCCCCACCGATGACTGTCTGAAGAATCCTGTAAAGTAAGACTCAAAATCTATAGAAGTAAACAGATCAATATATTCACTGTATTTTCAGACGCGTGGTCTTGTTTTCTAAAACTGAGTTATTTAAATGTAAACAAAGCAGGCGCTATATTTCTTGCATCATAACTGTTGGGGCGCGGGTTTGCCCACACTAGCACACAGACGCCCTAGCGCTTGTTGTATGAAAGCCTAGAGTGTACGTAAATCACCCTGCGTGATAGTGAGGTACGACACATCTCGTCGATCGCCAGAGTCGTCACGGGGCGCTCGTGTGAGACATCGGTTATACTAGGGGTCTCCAAACTACGGCCCGCGGGCCGGATGCGACCCGCGAGGTCCTCTCATCCGGCCCGCGGCGATCTTTTTGTCCTCGTAAAAAACGTTAGTTTGTGATGGCTGAGGAACTTTGCCCAGAAAAATGAAAGACATGCCTGGAACTAACTGGCCCCCGGACTCAACAGTTTGGAGACCCCTGGGTTATACTATCGCAGGACGCTCTTTAAACCGAAAGTAGGCACAATACTACTGGCGGAGAATCAAGGGTGCTGCTTTACTTGACAGTTAACTGAGCTCACTTTAAAAAATATCACCGGGAGGGAAGGGGAGAGGAAGACACCAGCTGCAAAATGTATAGAGGAAAAAATGTTTTGTTGAGTATTTTGAATAACTGGTAAGTCAATTAACGACCGGTGAGGGGTGACACCAAAATCTAATAATTTACGTTGAATACGATGCTGTTCCACGTGAATTAATAGGTGGATTAGTATAATGTGCGCACAAATTGACGCCATCATGTAAAAATGTGTAGGGGGTGACACCAATTGCAACTATACATATACATATTACACATACACACATATGGGGGGGGGGGGGGGTGACACCATGAGATACCGCACCGGGTGACACCCGCCCTAGCAACGCCACTGGATTAGGCCTATATATTATTTTTTTTTTTTATGTCGTTTATATTTTTATAAAATAGGCCTCTATAAAAGCATAAAAATGGACACATCGACATCTACTGATGAGCCCAATGTTCAGGATGTCGAAGTGGCACCAGGTAAATATAATCTCATGTAGGCCTGTAACGATATTAACTTGTACCTAAACTTATGAAGTTATAAAACACAAAAACAGGTCGAGGTGGTATATTAATTTTTTTATCACTAAGTGTTAAATGATGGTATGGGATAGTTATAAACAATTTTTTGTTTAAATTCCTATGTTTGTTGAATTTACTCTTGTAAACTCTACATACATAAGATATTGTTTCTAATGAAGATATAACTCACATGCACCATATATATATATATATATATATATATATATATATATATATATATATATATATATATATATATATATATATATATTGTGCTTGTGAGTAAGTCTAAGTCTATGTATACACGGGATTACATTTATACATACATATACATTTTGAAGATTTACATGATGCTGGTGTGCATTGTGATGGCATATATATGATGAGGAAATATCAACTGGAATTGGCAGAAAAGGCAGCCACGAAGGGTGTAAATACAATTATATGCTCACCAGCAGGCTCTGGAAAAACTTTGACTGCATCTTACATAATTATTGATCATTTAATGAACGCAAAAGGTAAAATTTACACTTTAATTCAAATGAGTTATTTTGCTTTGTTACATTTTTACAGTTAAACAAAAATTAAAATTCACCAAAATTAATTTATTTCTAGGTGCAAAGAAGAGTAAAGTGGCAGTTTTGGCTAAAACAACTTTTAGGGCAAGCAACATGCTTGAACGCCTATGTGGTTATCTTCCTGAGTTTGTAAAGGTTTGTTCTTCAACAATTAATGTATTTTCTGCAACTTTAATCATTCCAAAAATTATGCTAATAAATAAAAGCAAGTCATTGGTGGTGTAGGGGACGATGTGATTGGATGTTAGAGTCCATAATGACTAACTCAAAAGTCTCAAGTTCGGATCAATTCTGGTACATTTTTTTTACCAGGAATATTTCTGGTATTTCTGGCCCATTATAGAAAAAAAATATATTTCGGCTAATAAATTTAATAAGTGTACAACAGGCCAGTGTAAATAAAAACAAAACAATGAAACAAATAGAAATTCAGAGGACAATAGTTCTGAATGACATATTTTTTATATTTATTAGTTAGAAAAACCTAGATCTATATATTTTGTAAGTGTACTATTTCTACTTAATTACAGCTGTTTTGTATCTTGCCATTTAAACATATAATGTCCTATTTAGTGATAGGTGTACACATGAGCATATGTTAATTATGTGAAATTGATTAATAAGAATTTTAATGCACATAAAAATTAAACATGCATTTTGAAATTTCTGTTTTTTTTATTTCTTGCATTCAGAAAGTAATTCTTATTGGAAAGAGCAAGGAGAACTGGGATCTGAAACGCTTTGCTGATGAAAATGATATTGTTGTGATGACACCCATGGTACTTCTGAATAATATCCAGTTTAAAGACTTTCAACTCAATGAGTTTTCTCTTTTGATAATTGATGAATGTCACAATACTCGCTGTGGGGATTACTATAGTCTTATGCTCAAGTACATCCAAATGAAGTATAAAAATAATGGCATGCAGTCACAAATGGAAAGCTTACCCCAGGTTTGATTTTCTTTTAAGTTATTCTATGTAGAAATTTCACTACTAATCCTGCAATGTGAAGTTAGAATTTGTTTTTAAATATCGTTGTCTGATTTATTGGAGAATAATCCATGACATATCTATGTCTTCTATCTATGAGACACCAACATAAGTATCCAGTCAACCAATTCAATTTTATCATGGCAAGCAAATTAAACCAGATGCATTTTTTTATTTAAGATAAAATACTTTACCTATTTCAGGTTGTTGGTCTTACTTCCTCAATTGGTATTGAGAAAGCAAAGAATTTAGAACAAGCTGTTACTAGTATACTTACACTCATGACCAATCTTGATGTATACAAACTGTCTGTGGTAGAATATCACATAGATGATCTAAAAAAATTTCTACCAGGACCAGAAAGTAAGTACCTGTCAACTTGTATTTGTTTTTTAAAAGTCTATATGTATATATGTATTGGATTTAAATGAAAATGTAAATTATACAAAATTATTAGAAAATAAAGTAAATTATAAACTCCCATTTAGTCTAATGAGTTAACTCAAAGAGAATTAATTAAGCAAATTAAATTTACTCAAAGTAATTAAATTACCTAGGAAACATTCATTAACTTGTACTCTGGCTCTTAGTTATTGTACATGATACACAACTAAATGGTGCATTGATAAGTGATTTAAATGAAATGAATAATAATAATTATTACAAATGACACATTTTTTTATATAAAACAATAAGGTCCTCCTGAAAAACTAGAAAAACAAGAAGAGGATGAATTGGTTAAAAAAATTAATTCAATAATGATGCAGCTTGAAAAACATATGGAGAAGAATGCACAGGGTATGTTTTAAGAAGTAAACAATTTGGTATTTGTTGCTTTTTTTTTCACAAACATAGGCATAGTTAAAGTATTGCATTTCTTTCTTTTTTTTTTTTTGTAATTTGAAAGATGAAGCAAACAATTTTAGTTGAGATTTTTAAAAAGATTATGTTAATGTGATAGAATGACAAGGTTCTTAAAACTTATATAACAGGCATTTCTTAATACTTGGGAGATGATGTGTTTAATTGAAACATTTTCTTGGGTGATTGAAAGATATTAAAGTATATTAATAAATAAAAGCTAGCTGAAGTCACAGTCAAATGGACCATATGGCTGATAACATGTTTAAATGTGATATTTATAGATGTTAGAGGAAATCTTCTCCAATATAACAATTAAGAATGGAGAAGAAAAAATGTAATTGAAATTTAAATATTATCCCTCTATTGCATATAACTTAAGAAATTTTCCTTCAGCGTACAATTTAAAAAAATATATAATTAACTTTTAAAAATGTTTTAGAACTGAACAATCAGATGGTATTAGCTGTGTTAAAAAAAAAGCCATCTGGCAGAAAAAGCAAAAGTTATAAGGAGTGGGTTGTTCAGTTGATAAATGCTGTGAAAACATACCCTATTGTTGATCCAGAGAGTGAGACTAACACGAATACTCGAAATCTGATAATCATTTGTGAATATTTACAGGTAAAAAAATATTTTCTTTTTTTTTTCTTTTAATGCATCAAATTAGCTTATTAATCTGTTTTTAATTTAAACATACATGAAATTGAAAAAAATGTGTTTTTTTAAACTGCATAATTAAGGTGTGATTTAATACTTTTTACTTATAATTTAAGCATTTGAAGGTAAACTTATATTTCAAAGAGTTGACTTAAACAATAAATTAAATCTTGCTAGCTCTAAAACCCCCAGGTTTGCTTATTAAAACCTAATTTGTAAAATTGTTATTTTTAGGTTTACAACTTAGCATTAGAGATCCATGATTTGGTTGAGCTTAAAGATATAATGCCATATTTGAAAAAGATTTTTGATAAATTTCACAACTACAGAAATAAAACTCAAGAAGAAGCTATGCTTTATGGCTATTTTGAAGGTAGTTTTTTTTAATACTGAGTTTTGGCTTATTTCTAGTCTAACATTAAATAATTTTGCAAATTGCCAATTATTTGAGAATAATGCTACTCATATACATTTATTATGAAGCCTTACATTTTAAGGATAATTCAATAATATATCTATTTGCAGATTTTATTAAACTTGTTGATAGTTGGCAGGGAAATGAAAACACAAATCTTACTACCTTATCCAAAACTTTAGAAGAGAATTTAATTCCTGAAGAATGTTCACGTGGAATCATCTTTGTCAGTACTAGATTACTTGCAAAAGCTCTAGTGTCTTGGTTAAACAGAAGCAACAAAAGTTTTTTAAATGCTTCAGTTTTTACTGGAACATGTGCAAATGAACATCAGGGAGGTAGGGTAAAATATAAATGTAAAAATGTTAAGTTTTCTTAGAATACTATTTAGTCAGCTCTCTTCATTAAATTATCATGTTTGTGTGTGTAGGGAGATCACCAATGGTACAGATACAGATTCTTCAACAATTTTACACTGGTGTAATTAGACTTCTTGTAGCTACTTCTGCTGCTGGGGAAAGTTTTGATATTCCACTCTGCAACTTAATTATCCGATATAATTTTAGTGGCAATGAAGTTTCTACTAAGCAAACTACAGGTAAATTCTAACAACATACACAATTTTTAAAAATTAAAATATGTGCTCAATTATTGATAATTTAGTTGTTACACTGCTTTTACACTAGGAATAAAAAACCCAGCAAGTTAATGTTATTTCAAAAAAAAAAAATTTCCAGCAGAATTTGCTGCAAGTTTTTTTTTATCCTAGACCTATTTAGTATACATGTTGTAAAAGTGGTGTTACAGTTTAAGTAATATATATATATATATATATATATATATATATATATATATATATATATATATATATATGCATGTATACAGTATGTATAGTACGGTTAAGGGAGCCTTTAAAAAGAGTCACATTCATTTCTGTAACTGAGGGAGTAAATTTCTACAATTAATATGTGTACATAGTAAAATAATGTATAATATAAGTCTAATTCTTTTGTCTTGTAATTTTATTGTTTCTTATGTAATATGTAGGTCTATAAAAGAATATATACACATATATTTTAATTAATAAGGGAGCCTTTAAAAAGAGTCACATTCATTTCTGTAACTGAGGGAGTAAATTTCTACAATTAATATGTGTACATAGTAAAATAATGTATAATATAAGTCTAATTCTTTTGTCTTGTAATTTTATTGTTTCTTATGTAATATGTAGGTCTATAAAAGAATATATACACATATATTTTAATTAATAAATAGCAGTTTTATATTCTAAAAATGCTTTTTTATTTTCAGGAAGATGTATAGCAGAAGGGGGAAAATCTGTTCTCTTAGCTATGGAAGATATTTTGAAAGAAGAACTAAGAAACACAGAAAGAACAAAATTAATTTCTGAAGCTATTAGTGTAATTGATCGAATGGATACACATGAAATTATACAGAGAAATAGTTATTTTCAATTGGACATGATCAAAAAGGATGAAATCGCTGAAGCTGAGAAAAAGATGCATAAAAAAGACCCAAGAGAAGTTCCTTGCAATATGGTAAATAAAACTACCTCTGCCACTACAGTAGACTTACACTTTCATTGTTAAAAACACATTCTAAACAATATAAACATTTCTTTGTTTCTCCAATGGTTTTGCAGGTTTGTTGCCTTTGTCGACGAGTTTCAATACATTGCTCTCTAGTGCGGACAATTAAAAAAGGCACAGAATCTCTATTGATAGGTATAAATACAAAAACATTTTTTTTTTACTTTAAAAATATGTATATTCATTTTATAATATATATTTTAACTAAGCGTTATTCTCTTACACTACCTAATTTTATTTAAGCATTATTCTCTTACATTAACTTATCAAATAAAAAGAAATCTTAACTACTTAAACAAGATGTTTAAAAACAAATATTTACAGCTATGAATTTTAAATATTTAAAAAATCTGCTTTAGTGACCTACTAAAAAGTGGTAAAGTGAGGTTTAAGCCTATTAAGCCCAAGACAATGGATGAAGTTGACTTTTTAGGACCAGCGCTATGTCAGGGCGAAATTGAAGGAAAAGGAGTATGCGGGAACGCATTGGGCTCTTTGATCATGTATCAAAATGTAAAATACCTAACAATGGGAATAAAGGCTTTTGGATTTTGCATGGGCACAAATACGGATCCACATTACTTTAAAAAGTGGGACAAGGCGCCATATATTTTTGATGAACTCACCCCATATGAGGCCAAGAGGTAATTTAAGTTTTGGTATTTTTACATCTGCATTTAATCTTTAAAATAGCAACAATTTGATTTAAATGTAATTGCTTTTGTTACTATTGTTAAATGCTCATTGTCTGCTGTAAAATTAAACAAATATTACATTCTGTTTAGATTTAGGCACACATATCAAGGTTTTAAGTAATGAATGATATTTACAATGTATAGCTAAATTAATGTTTAATGCTAAAAAAATGTCCAAATGATTGTTGGTTCTGATATTTTACTCATCAGCAAATTTTTGTTTTTGTTTTTGCAGAAATATCTTGTATAATATTTAGTATAATTTTAAAATTTTAAAATTAAAATGTAAGTTGAAATGTACTTCATTGTTCCTTTAAGTAATAATAATGATAAATCAATCAAATTCATTAGAAGTCTATAAATAAGGTGTATTGTTATAAATTTAGTTTATAAGAAATCTAGTTACACTGTGACACTAATTATTTCATGTTGTGTCAAAGTCATTTCTTTAATCAGTTTTTAATACAAAAGATAATTAACATATTTGACTTCCTCTCAACATATAAATATTTATGCTAAAAGTATGAGTTATTTACTTCCCTTGCATATATTGAATTTGATTTTTCATTATCAAAATAAATAAAGGTTTAGAGAACCTCAGGTTTTGTTAAATATTTCATCCTTAAACTTGATCCCATTAATTTTTTTATTTCAGTTATCTTGAAAGCTGTATGGATGGAGATAGTTTAGACCAGTTGCAAGCAACAAGTAGTGCTGGAGACACACCAGCAACAACTAGTGCTGGAGACATATCAGCAACAACTAGTGCTGGACACATACCAGCAACAACTAGTGCTGGAGACACACCAGCAATAACTAGTGCTGGACACATACCAAGAACAAGTAGTACTGGAGAGATACCACCAACAAGTAGTGCTGGACACATGCCACCAACAAGTAGTGCTGGACACATACCAGCAACAACTAGTGCTGGACACATACCAGCAACAACTAGTGCTGGACACATACCAGCAACAAGTAGTGCTGGAGACATATCAGCAACAACTAGTGCTGGACACATACCAGCAACAAGTAGTGCTGGACACATACCAGCAACAAGTAGTGCTGGACACATACCAGCAACAAGTAGTGCTGGACACATACCAAGAACAAGTAGTGCTGGACACATACCAAGAACAACTAGTGCTGGACACATGCCAGCAACAACTAGTGCTGGACACGTACCAAGAACAAGTAGTGCTGGAGAGATACCATCAACAAGTAGTGCTGGAGAGATACCACCAACAAGTAGTGCTGGAGAGATACCAGCAACAAGTAGTGCTGGAGAGATACCACCAACAAGTAGTGCTGGAGAGATACCACCAACAAGTAGTGCTGGAGAGATACCAGCAACAACTAGTGCTGGACACATACCACCAACAAGTAGTGCTGGACACATACCAGCAACAAGTAGTGCTGGAGAGATACCAGCAACAACTAGTGCTGGACACGTACCAAGAACAACTAGTGCTGGAGAGATACCACCAACAAGTAGTGCTGGAGAGATACCAGCAACAATTAGTGCTGGACACATACCACCAACAAGTAGTGCTGGAGACATACCACCAACAAGTAGTGCTGGACACATGCCACCAACAAGTAGTGCTGGACACATACTAAGAACAAGTAGTGCTGGAGACATATGTGGCACGTAAAATGGTTAAGTTTTTTTATTCTCATTTATACTAACATTAAATGACATTCAACGTAAAAGAAAAGCTTTTTGAAAAATATACTTTCAGTTTAATGCACAGATTTTCTCTACTAATGTCCACTGTTAGAGAGTTTTGAGCCAGTCATTTTTTACTCAATGACAAACAAAGAAATTTAGCACAACTAGCATTAAAATATCAAGCTTTGTTTAAATGAAGAAACTCTTTAAAGATTTTAAAGGAGAAACAGTAATAAATCAGATACACAATGTAAGACAGCTTACAAAAATATGAGCATCCAATGAATCAAACATCACTTTTTACTTTGTCCTGCTATAGTCCAGTATGGTGTTTTCTAGTTTGTGAAGCTTTTTGCATGAACAGTTATTATTTCTTAAAGCATAAAGTGTAGAACTGGTGCTCTACAAAAGAAAGTAACTATTATCTCTATGGCAACCCTAACAATAAAAGAATTTGAATTCGGCAAAATCTTGGTAATTTAGATCTTAATTATTTTTTATAAATTTTTACAAATAATTACATGTAAAGATGCAATATTTTAAAGTAAATGCTACTACCAAAAAATAAAAAAAAATTGTTTTCCTGACATATGCTATCAATTATCTTTATTTTTCTCTGTTAGGGCTTCTGTATTCTGTATTTTTGCTGGCCTTATGTTCAACTCCCAGAACTAGGGTGCTAGCTTTTTCTGACCCCCTACCTGCACAGATTATCCCAGCTTGGTTAAATGATTCATATCATACATAATCAATATACTTTAAAATTAATCATGTATTTATTTTTAAAATTTTAATAGCATACATAAAAATGCTAATTTTAGTTTTAAATAGCTAAGGAAAACAATATTTGTAACACCAAATAATATCAAAGAAGTTTAAAATTTTGTAAGCATAATTCAAGATTTAAAAAATTAAAGGTGGCCTCTTAAATAGAGATAGATCCATTTTCCATTAATAAACATTTAAAGTTTAGAATTCTTTTTAATCAGAAGCATAACATATCTGACATTTGAATTATTTTAATCTAGTGAACTATTGTCAAAGGTAAACACAGTACAGATAGACAACTGCAAAATAAGGCACCAAGTTTATAATTTAATCACCATTTTGAATAGTCTTTTTGTTACACAGTCACAGTATACAAACAAGCACTAACATTCTTATACTAAATACTAATCATATGTGTATGTTGAATGCCAGGTATAATACAACCATTTTGTTAATAAATACATTAAAATATAAATAGCATAATCAACATTCAAAGGTAAAACATAAATTAAAGCTTTTGAAGTATTTTTCAACTATAATCCCTAACCAGAACTTTTAAAACTTCATTGAAACAATAAAAAACACAACAGTGTAGCTACAATTTTAAAAGTTATCCACTTTATTTTTAAAATAATAGTATATAAAAGAGTGATACTATTAATAGACCTTTTCTTAAAGTAGTAGAGATGATAAAATATAAAGTACTGTACAAAAACATCAAAAAAAGATATTTAAGAAAGCAATGTTTTTTTTAAAAACAGTTTTAAGCCACAACATAGATTTTTATCTTAGGAAGCAAATATCACCAGGATAATTAAAATTATTGCCATGAGAAGTTTAAGAACATTTATCTATACAAAGAGTGCATTTAGTTAATTATTTAACACATAAATTAATATTAACATTACATCATATATATTTTAAATACTTAGATAATTTAAGTTTGTGTTTGTATAAATCAGAAAAAAAACCAAATTCAGTTCTATTTAATAATTTTTAACAAAGATAACACTACAAAGTTACTTGTTTTACTATACTATTTGGATATGTTTATAGCCATTAAATTTAATTTAGAAAGATAATTTTAGAAACATTTTGTGCTTTGTAAGATTCAAACTTTGTTAATTGTTTTTATTTTTGATAATTTTTTCAATTTTGTTTTACACGTATGCAGCATGCATTTTTTTTTCAAATTTGAAATAAAATATGAGCATATTTCATAATGACTAAAGAAGTCTTTTTATTTTTTTTAAATTTAGTATATACATTAATTTTACTTGGAAATTGTTTTGCCATAGTTTTTAAAAGTGCAGAATTTTATTTGTATTAAAAATGTTCAGACAAATTAGTGCTCTCGCTACTATATTCTGCTGTTGCTATTGAACTGGATGAGTCAAGCAAGTGAATAGGGCCACTAATGGAAGACAATGTGCTTGTGTCAAAACAATCTTGAAATCTTTGAGGTGCCTCATTTTCTGGCCTATTGATGCTTTTGGCAAAGTGTATCTCTGTATTTGAATAAACTGTTTTAACTTGTGTTCTGTGAACAGCATCTTCTACTAAAGAAGCCTCAACATTCAGTGTGTGTTTTTTTATGGGTGGAGCATAAGCTCCTTGATTTGAGCCATCATCACTGTCACTGCTATCAGAGTCATCACTGATATCATTTGTGAAGTTATCCTCTCTTTCCAAAAGGTAGCTAAAGGTATAAAAAAATACATCATCAAAATGTCCAGAAATATATCTAATACTTTTAATGCTTGTTTAAAACTAGTGCTAAAATTTGCAGAATTAAATTGAAACAAAAATGAATTTTTTTTACACTTCACCTTTGTAACTGTTCTTTAAGGATTATCCATAAATGATACAGAACTTTTTTGGAAATATAAAACAAAACTCAGACCCACTGATGTCACCCCCCCCCCCCCCTCACAAAAGTCTGAATCACCTTCCCTTTAATCTAAAAATGTGGCATCTTTTATAAACTTACTTTTTAGTATCATCCAAGGTGAGTTCCTCTATAACATATGGCACTTGCTTCCATTTCTTAAACAGACGCAAATCTTGATTGTCACCCAAATAAAATCCAAAATTCTTTATGCCAACAGCAAAGTAATGAACTTTTTCATACTTGATCATTTGACCCAAAGGATTTCCACAAACTTTTCCTGAGTTTGGCTCTCCTTGACAATATACAGGTCCTAGGAATTCAATTTCATCCATTATTTGTCCACTTCTTCTTTCAACAATTTTTATTTTCCCACTATTCACCAAGTCCCTGTATTAAAATAAAAACAGTGAGAACATGTTCATTGATGATTCTTTGTATGCTTTTTTCTGACTTACTAAACACTTTAGGTAGACTAGATAACCCAATTCTAGTGTTCAGAAATGGATTTTATGCTTATGATTAAAGAAATCATGCAGAAAGTATGAAGACCTTGCTCTGATACCACAATAAAATATTCAGCCCTTGCAGAACTAGTGAACTGCAGTTATTTAAAAAATTTTAAATACATATTTAATGGATACAAATGAAATTAAATTTGTAAAAAATTGTAAAAAAGATTTAGATTCTAGTAAATTAATTACGAATGATGTTAAATTGAAAAAGTGTTTGATAATGTTTAACAAATTCATCTACCTGTCAATAGAAATTCTATACTTTTCAAAGATAGTTCTCAATTTTGTATTGTTAACTCCAACTTTTCTGCAACGTGAGCACACCTGATGAGACAGAATGAGATATACTTTATTTTTTTAATATACTTTAGAGCAGAAAACATAATTTGTATTAAAAACAAACATTAGTATCACAAGGAAGGGGTGATGAGTGCAGACTGCATCACATGATTTCATCAAAACATGGAACAATGAAATGAAAAGTGGAAAATCTACTGCAGAAATCTTCTTTGTCTGGTTAATTTAACATACAGTTTTTAAAACCAATACATAAATTAAAACATTTTACTCCAATCATTCTCCATTGATTATGTACTAAGGTAATTATAAAAAAAATCTATTTTTTAAAGATCCTATGTTCAATGTTGTTCATTTAGGTTACATGTTTTTCTTAAGATATTTTTCACTGGAAACACTAGGCTGTGTTAAATGATTAATTTTTTAAAGGAATTTTATTTGCTTACAGAACATCAAATTGGACTGTAATTATTTGACTCACCATTTTAAAAACCTCACTTTTTTATTCAACTTTCCTTTTTTTCTTAAGTTCTTTTTCAATCTCTGACTCTTTAATGACTTTTAACTGATAAGTATTGATGTATTCAATGATGTCAGATTCTTTCATTTCAGCAATAGCTTTAATTGCTTTGTTCATTAACTTCATCCTTTCTTGGTTATTTTTCTCTCTGTTCAGAATAATTTGTGTAGCTAAAAGGACAGAGACACCACCTTGTTTTCTACTTCTCCCTGTTTGGAAAATATAAAAACAAGACAAAATTCAATTGTTAGCTATGTGTACACTAAATTATTCTAAATAATCAAACTGTACTGTAGTCAAATACTAAAACAACTCCAAATTTAAAGCATTTTTTTTTTAAAAGTTATACTGTATATACATCATATAAAAATAGATTTTAAAGGAAAGTAAATTTTAAATAAAAGTGTTTTTTTTTTATAGATTGTACCTTTTTTTTTTTAGTTTTACATACATTATTTTCTTATGTTATTCATTATTAATTTATTTTATTTTTGGTGATCATTCTTTTAGTTGATTTTATTGTTTGTATAATATTTTTATGAGTGGACTCAATAATTTTTTTGAAAATTCCTGTTTAGTTCTTTTTTTTTCTCTGAATATTTTGTTTTTTTTCCAAAATGGAAACTGCTTGATCAGTTAGTCCTAACTCACATTTATGGAGTTTTTACTATATAGTTATGTAATCAATATTCCTTTTTACTGTAGATACATCATAAAAAAATAAATTATGTAATTCTTCTACCTGATTGGGACCTGCTTATATGTAAAGATATATATAAAGACAGAGAGCCAGAAAACTAATATACCTCTTGTCTGCACAGTAGTAACTTCATTGCCAACATGGTTATACTTTATGACTAGGTTACATTCAGGGATGTCAAGACCTTCCTCAGCAACAGAAGTTGCTACCAACAGTCTAACCTCACCACTTGCAAACTTTTCAATAGCATTTTGCTGTTGTAGCTGAGACATTCCTAGGTGAAGTTTTAAAAACAAAACCACATTATTTAGTTTCAATTTAGCTAACTTAATATAAAAATTATACAGAATATATTAAACATTGAGGCCAAAATAGTTTTTGATTTCTTTTTATGCCATAAAATAAAATAA